GCTGTCAAGGAAGCAGCCAAGGGCGATATGAAGGGCATACTAGCATACACCGAAGACGATGTAGTCTCGTCGGATTTGAATGGCTCGCGTTATGGCTCCGTATTCGATGCCAAAGCCTGCATAGCGCTTAACGATAATTTTGTTAAGCTTATCTCGTGGTATGACAATGAAACTGGCTACTCTTGCCGGCTTTTAGATCTTGTTATTTTCTCTCAAATGATAGATAAATGTATCGAAAAACAAAAAAAAGACAAGTGCGACAAGTAGGAAACCCCCTCACAGACTAGTTTCAATTAATGTAAAATCTCCAAATAAAGTTTTACGTATTTACCTTAGACTACGCTCGAGTTGCGTTGAAACTGAACCGATGATATGCTCATTATCTCATGTTCCCCATTATTGTTGGCCGCCTCACTTGGCTGTTGCTGCTCCGCCGCCTCGACCACAATGTCGTCCAGCGTGGGCGCCTTAATGCGATTGCGTATGATGAGATCACGTTCGGCGGGTGGCTGTAAGTGCAGCGGATTGGTTGCCAATTCGGCGGCAACCATTTCATCGCCTTGCAGGCCCAGCGTCATATTGACTTTGGCATGCTGGCCGGCTGTCAGCTCGCTGCTAGGCGGCTCAACGACGGGTGGCGGACGAAGGCGTGCCGGATCCAGCAGCGAGTGCATTTTTTGTTTGCGTGGCGTGCGCGCTGGCGAGGCCTTTCTCGAGTTGTAGTTTTTTAGTTGCTTGGCCCTGTGGCAAGAGCTTTGTATTAGTAAAATTGAACGAAACCTTAACGACACACTTACGCCTCCATCAGCTTGAGCAGCATGTGATGGTAAGCCTCGTACTCGTCCTTGCCAAATTCATTTGGATCGTGGCGAGCGTGTTCGTATGTATCACAGAACTGATGTATTATGCGTTGCCCAGTGCCGTTCAGCGTCACCGAGAGCGTAGTCAGTAGAAAGGCACGTAAGCTTTCGTGGGCGTGGCGTGTGCTGCCATCGGCGCGCGCTATTTCTGATTCCAGCAATTTAACATCATCCACGGCCTTCATGCGGTAATAGTAGGGAGGCAAATCTTGCTCAGGACCTGGTTGCACAATATACTTGTCCGCATCGGTCCACAGCAGTTTTGGTTCCTGTGCTATCTTTTGTATGCAGTCCAATCTGCGCTCAATTTCGCGGCGCAGCGCCTTTTTGGCGTCAGTGCCCACGGGCACATGGGGGCCGCGGCGGCTACGCAGTGTGAATCGCATTATCTGCCGTTTGGCGAATATGAAGAGCATTACAAAGGTCAGCACGCCGCCGCCGATGATGATTATTATCATAACACCCGAAAGCTGCTCCATATTTGCGGGCGTTTCGAATTTTTCACTGAAAATCTCTTTTGTTCAGGTTTTTGGTCGCAAGTTAATCGATATATTTAACCATTTAGCAACATTGTCACTGCAAATACGTAATCCTATCGATAGTTTTGCCCATTACCAAATCGATACATTGAGATAGTCCGCAACATTAGACAAAGTTATCGAAAGGAGTGCGCAAAAATCGGTTTCAAACATTTATTTAATTTAATTTGCAAGCAAATGACAATTGCTTTTGATTTTCTGGTGGTCAACATCGGCTATAAACAATAACTACAAACTAATCCAATCCTAATGCAGTCTCTTTGGCAACCAATAGCTTCTATACATATGTTCATGGCGTTCGAATTCCAGTTTCGAGTTCAAGTCCAGGGAAAGTTATTGCAGAAGAGGACGGTGCCGCAAGCACAGTATGTGGTGCACCAGATAAACAGGGCGCCCGCCTTCGAGCGGAACGAGAGCTGCGCCAGCGATTTGGGCATATGGTCTGCAGCAAACCAATAGAAAATTGGCGTGGCCGAGGCCAGCAAGCGCGTAGACACCTGAATGTGAACGAAGAGAGCACAGACAAGCGTCAAGAACGCGCCGTGCAGCACGAATGGCAGCGATTTTTGTGACTTGAGTGGTTCCCGCCAGCTGACCACCTGTGGCCAAATCTTAGTGGCCAAAAACCACAAATAATCACAGCAATGCCACTGCATAAACACGAGCATGGGCAGTGCTAGTAGAAAATTGGGAAGCTGCTTCCATTGATAGTAACGCAAGAAGCCCACATCCCAATAGGTGGACTGCACGTAACTGTAGGGGAATGGCAACGTATATTGGCACCAGGGCGATCCCTTCGGTCCCCGTCCGGCAAGCAGATAGTCTCGTTCGCTGGCATAATGCAGCACCTGCTGCGGATGCTTAACCTTGATGCCGGGCATACAGTAGAGTCGATATATGTAAAAGTAATAGGCATGCAATATGGCCAGCGGTATAAGCACGGCCAACGCCATCTTGATCACCTGTTGGCAGCGCTTCACGTTCGCCGTCAGTAGAATGTGGCGCGCAAAAAAATACAGGGGAAAGCCCAGGGCAATCAGTCCATTGGAGCGGCACATAATGCAAGCAGTCAAGCTGGCGCAAATGCGCATAAAATTGAATTGTTGCTTGGCCCGGACGCATTCCAGCATCAGGATGAAGCTGGCGTAGGTGAACAGCGATTCGGAGTAGGCGGCACTGAAGAAAATGCTGGCCGGATTAAAGCAAAAAACGAGCGCTGCATTCCAACTCTTGTGCAGATCATTGAAGACGCGCTGCGTCAGCTGGTACAAATAATTGGCAGCCTCGCAGAAGAGCCACACATTCAAGGCGACAGCGACGACCAGAGTCAGTGCATGCATCGAAATGGGCACATTGAAAGTCTCCAAAGCTGCGGCCAAATTGCGCACAAGCACCGGATATAATGGATAGAATGCCAGAGTATTCTCATACGTGTACAAATAGTTGGCAATGTGCAGAAAGTATTCACCGTCCCAGTGCCGCAAGCCGCCCAAGCAGCGCATAACCAGCTTGTCCAGGTAGTGGTCGGGATTTGTAGCATTCGGTGTGGGCATTGGCATACGAAACACATCCGGCTTATGATCTGGCACAATCCAGTTGGCCAGCATTTGAACGGCCAAAATGATGAGGCGACTCGAAAGCGCCAGCTTTGTCACCTTCAGTGTCATCTTTGCTGCTGCTGGCTGGGTGGAGTCGATAGGCATGTGATTCACAACATATTCAAAATGCTTCACTTACTCACCTATATATGTATATGTATTTGTAGTTGTGGTAGTAGCTGTTGGAATATATAAAATATGTTGGCCTACGCTTACAACATTCGTAGCGCACAACAATATTTGTTTTCAAACGTGTCTTTGTGTGGAAATGGAGTCGTTTAGAGACTCCCTAAATATGACTTGACATTTAACAGACCGACTAGTCCGTTTAAAAAAAAAAACAAAATTAAATCTTTGGCCAAATGCGACCGGCAAGCCAAGTGGCAAACAGTGTGTACACACCAGCTGCGGAACTAAACAGCTGTATTTCAAAACTAAAAAATTAACAACCCTGAACTCGTAATATTTAATCGATAACAAGACTTTATTAACATAGATTGTTGGCGCGCATTTTTAAAGTGATATATCTTAAGCAAGCTTTTGAATTAAATTGTATTGTGTTTTTATTTAAGGCACATGTAACCCAGAACTATCCAAAGGTTTCTGAACAACATAATTCCGGGTTTTTATTAAAGCCCTGATTTAGCTCCTGTTTAAAAGAACTTTACTATTTAAATAAAAACACAAAACATTTAACTTAAATTTTTTATGTATCAACATGTCATACAAGATATCCGATTTAATCGCCTTCAGACTCGGATTCGGCCTTTTCACTTACTTCTACTTCATCGAACATGCTCATTAGTTCCACTTCCTTGCGCCTGATGCGCTCCTTTATGTTTGTGATAGACTCCGCCTTCGGTACGTCGCGTGTAAAGAACTCATCCATGGACTTGAATACAGTATTATATTGGGTTGGCTCAAAGCTGGATAGCACGGGCATTGGCGGTTTCTTGGGTATACGCCTGGTCACATAGCTGCGCTCCATGAATTGCTTGAGCTCATCCAAATGCTGTTCTTCATCCTGTTCGTGCGATGAAAATTGACGTATTGCTTGGCGATCCAATTTTTTCTTATTTTCCGCGCGTGCCCTGTCAATTTGTTTGGCCAGCTGCGGTGATGGCAACAGGAGCTTAATATCTCCAACGAGCAGATCACGATTAAGTATTTCCGCCTCATTGGTCTGCACGCCCATCTCCAGCAGTGGCTGCTTCTCCAGCCTAGGCTCAAACAGAGCATTTACTTGGACATCCTTCTTCAGCGGCATATCACCGCCCGCTGCCTTTCTTCCCTGTTGCAGCCCGAGTTTTGATATGGGACCCAACGCCAACCGATCCGGGCATTTCTTGTCGCCACCAATTGGTGTTCGTTGCTTGCGAGGAGTTGCCACCTTTTGGGCCATTACTTTGCTCCGATTGCTGGCCGCACGCAGTGTTGAGGCAATTGTCGGTTTCTCCAGCCGTGCCGTAAGTGTCAGCCGGCTTGTGGTCGTCACAGCTGTTGTCTTCCAGCCAGCGGTGCCACCATCGCCATCGCCGCCGGTGCGTCTAACTGCTCCGGTCCTGTGTGATGATAGCGGCGTCGCCAATCTGGTGCCTCGTGGCGCTTCTGTTATGCTGCGATGAAAACTACTTGCTGGAATGGGCATGACCATGGGCGAGGCCAATTTGCCGCGCGCACTCATACTGCAGATGTTAATATCAATCGTTAGGCGCACAATCTTTGCTGGTTCGTTGAATTACGCTTAATATTATTAATCTAATTACTTCACTGTATTACAATTTTAAAGAGTCACGTTAATTTACTAGAATTCCTTGAACTATTTACAATATTAAAAAAAAAATGTTACTTGAGCTTTCATGCAGCGAAATAAAATTCTATTGTTTTTATTTAGTAAAAAATTTGTAAAGCCAACTTTGTTATTTGAAAATAGTAAACTATTCCAATCTCGTCCCGTGCAGAATTTACTAACTAATATGTTCGTATAACAATGCAATTAAGTGTTATTATGCTTGTCCAATAAGTATATTGTTTATTATTGATTTCGGTTAACATATGGCAAAAAAAAAATTTTTTTTAAATTCTCTTTAACTTGCGCTTCACATAGTTTTCACAATTGTCAACTTTAAATTGAAGACACAAAATTTATTTAAATAAAAATCAGGCAGCGTATGGGCTCTGCACAAATTCAACGGAGTCTAAGCTCCCCTTTTAGTGAATGTATCGAAATTTGTATAATATGATTTAATGTCTTTTAAAACATCACATACATGTTTAATAAGTTGAGCAAATCTCAGGGATTTACACACGCATGTATAAGATGTTCAATACGAAAATATATATTTTAAAATATCATCCAAACTCGCAACTGATGCATTTAAGCAAACATTCAAAGTGCTGCATTTTAATTCATACAATGCGAATTTGCTAAGTTTATAAAAAATTTTCTTTTTTGCTGCTTGGCTCATGTTGCAAGTGCGGCAGTCTAGTTGTGGCTGCTTCCATTTGCAATATGCCGCAAACAGCAAAGGTCAAAAGAGGCTAACACTGGGACACAATTATCCCGATGTAGTCCTCGTAAATTTTTTGTAACTAGAAGCTACATTAATATACGCAACTATGATATAACACAAGTGCTCTTCTTTTCTGGCTTAGGCTGCGGTCTTGGAGTCTTGCTTTGCCAGGACGTGCTGTGGCCAAAGAATGGTGGCGGTTGTGTGTATTCATCAGCTAATCTTTGGGGTTTTGGCCGCATTACATCGTTGTGTACCGTGGAATGATTTGGCGACTGTTGAGTGCTCTCAAAGCGCATATAGCCCTTGGGAATGTAGCTGTACTGAGTGCTACGTCGCAAACCTGGACTGGCCGGCGGTGCACTGGGCGCAAATGGTAACTCGAGCGCCTCTTGGCCCTCAGTAACTGAAGAGTCTATACTAGCGGTCGAAGCGTTGTGATGGATATTGGCGCTGAAACAAAAACCAGTTGTTGCCCGCTGGCTAGCTGAAGTAGACGCCACAGCTTTGGGCGGCTCATTAACGGATAAACGCTGCATGTCTGCCTTGATGGAGCGCACTGTGGCAGACTCATCGTCCACATAACGCGGTACGCTGGGCAGCTCGTCGAACAGCTTGTCCAGGTCCGATTTTTTAGGCTGCTGAGCCTGGCCGCTCAGTTTCAGCAGCTCAGCCTTATTGTAGCCAATCTTTGTGGCCGCAGATAAGAGCCCCTTGTTGTGTATGTTAGCTGAACATAAAAATAAACAAAATAATATAAAATATATAAGAAATATTTTATGAATATTAAAAACGAAAAAAAAAAAAATTTAATAAAACCAGAGAAATGTGTGCATCAGGATCAGTGTGTGACAAATTAGTTAGCCAAATGCTTATATCACGAGCATGATCAAAAGATGCGAATGCCAATTTATTATAAACATGGACGGTAGGTATTGGGTTTATTACAATTGAAACTGCAATTGCTTCTCTTTTATCTGACTTGTTGGCGAACTTGGACTTGGATGCTTAAAAACGGCAGTCAATTGTTTTACGCCAACAACTAAAGCCGGGGCGCCTCATGTCATGTAATGCATATATGATGTATGTATACATATATATATGTATATATATACATATATATATATACATAAATATATATATATATATATATAAAGGATGTGAATATATGACGTATTTGAAATGTGTACGTCGATCTTGAAAACTTCTAAAACGTATGCTATGGACAATCTAAATCGATATAGTTTGTTCCAATCTCTCTTATCCATATTATGGGATCATTCGAAATGCTAAAGATCCAGCATAAGCATTTGTATATAGGCATTTATGATCGCTGTCACGATTTCTTTGGTTTCTTTGGTGATGATATTGATAATTATGACAACGATTATTACTTCGCTTGAATGTCTGTCCCAATGTCTGCCCGTCCTCATGTGTTGCATCTGTTGGCTGTTGGCGATTATTATTACAGCCAGAACGCATTGGATTACCAGATTGAGTGGCCGTCCCGTTCGCCTCGTTCGTCTTATTATCATCCGGATAATAGGGCGAACCGACGAGCGTTTTGCGATCCCGGCACATGTCGATGATATGACGAAATTCCTGATTTTTGCTTAGCGTGCGCGGATTACCAATTAAGATAAGCAAGGACATGGGACGTGATAGTAAAACGTTCAAACGCTGCAAGAGATTTTAAAATAGATATCAGCTTACTCATATTCATATTGATATTTCCCACTTACGCGACTATTATTAAGGAAGCCCAACTTTTCCGTAAACGAGCGCACAAAAGAAACAATTATAATTTGCTTCTCCTTGCCTTGGAACAGTTCAACAGAGCCACAATCGATTTGATGCCAATTGCGCATGTTGAGCTGCTCCTGGATGCGCTGATACTGATTCTTATATGGCGATATAATGCCAATATCCGTTTGGGCCAGCTTTTCACCATTGATGCCAAAATACATCAAATCCTTTACATAGTCCATAACTGCATCTATTTCCTTATTGTTGCAGAGGCTGTTACCAGAATCGAATATAATTAACTATTCAATAAGGATTTGAACCGTGTACATACCTCAGCGAACTTTGGGAGTTCATGGTCGTGCCAAAAACCGAGTGAAACATTATGGGAAAATGTTCGTTGGGCGTATGAAACCAGTTTCTGGCAAGGCATACATTTGCTATAATGAAAAAATAATAATAAAAGTAAAGAAAAAGCACAATAAGAAATAGGCAATAATGTGTTTAATCAAAGAACAATAAAAAAAACTACAACGGACGCACCAATTGGACGGACAACCCTCTAAGAAGGATATTAAGCCAGGCCAAACATAAGACGGACAAAAATACCTAGCGTTCATTATAAGCTTAAATTCGTTTCGGATGATGCATAGCATTGACTCACCTAGTGCCGCCTCCGATTTCAGTTCGCTGTTGTAGTAGAGATCACTGTAGAGCGAGACAATTTCGGGATGGGAACGATAGTTACGTCGCAATCGCGTCTGTACGGCTGCATTGTAATCACCATTCTCGTCCAAGCGGTAGCACTCACGCTGCAGGAGTCGCTCAAATAGCGAAACGCCCAGTCCCCAATCTCCGGCACGCTGCGATTGCAGTACCGGTCCCAATTGCTTATGATCGCCAGATAGGATTAGATTCGTAGATGGCGCTATGGTACAGGTAATGCCCATAAGCACTTCCGCTTCTGTTGAGGCAGCCGCCTCATCCACAAATACATGAGAGAATACGCTGCGTTTGTCCTCGTCACGGCCGAAGCCACCCGTTGATAGTTTGCCCGCCAGACTGAGGGTACACACCACAATGCGATAGTCGTGGACTGCCTGCACATCGGGATAAAAGTGTAGGGCATACATATTCGAGTATTCCAACAGCAGATCATCAATATTATCGATGCGGCGATCACAGCTGGCGGCAAAGATGCGCGTCAACGGACGCGGCTGACTGGGCACCTTGGATATGGAACGCAATAAACGCAATGCTATCTCATCGCAGGCCGTATTCGAGCCGGCCAGCACCAAGATGTGGGTCTCTGGTCGACGTACATACAATTGATAGATGGCCTCACAAATCGTTGCCGTTTTGCCCGTGCCGGGCGGTCCAAACACAATATAGGGGGCTGGCAGCTTATCGGAAAATGCAATTTGTTGCACTGCCTGCTGTTGCTCTGGATTACGACCAATATGCTCATTATGAAGGCACAAAGCGCCATTAGCCACCGGCTGTCTCTGAATCGTAGCGGGAAAGAGCAGACGCTGCACATGCTCCGCATTGGTCAGCTTTAGCTGATGGAGCGCACGATATTGGTAGCGTAAAACGGCGCGGACTGGCCGAAAGAGTAGAGCATATGTGGTATTATCTGGCAGATGACGATCGCAGGTAATATTGACGCGCTGAGTCGATACGCCTAGGATGCGGGCAAAATAAACGCGCGGCTCGCGACGCTCCTTTTCCGGTACGCCAAACTGCTCGTTTATCTTATGGCCCCATTGAACAAGCGTATCGAAATCCTTCAGCGCCAATTCCAATACCAGAGTATTATTATCCAGCAACTGGCGTATGCTGTTCGCCTTGCCCGTTTCTGGCTGACCGCCGTTTGTGCAGCGTTCATTAATAATTAGAACATCATCGCCGGGCGACAGCACATCCTCGGCACTTAAATTTCTCGAATTTGGCTGCAACTTAACGGACAACTCTTTGCCAAACTGATGTAATTCCATTTTGGATTGCTTGAGTGCCACATAGCACTGCAGCCGCTCAATATCCTCCACCTGGAGCAGGGTGCGCAGTGTGCCATGCAAATTGCGCTGCGTAAATTCACGTCCCAGCTCACAATAGTTGCGATACTCCTTATTGTAATCCGCCAAGCGGATCTGAGCATCTTGTGCATCACGTTTCAGTGCACTGACCACCGTTGGCGGTGGTATTGCCGGCTCTAAGCGGCCGCCACGAAATAGCTTTTTATTGGACAGCCGATAGGGATTCACATTGAAACAAGCCTTGGGTAATGCCTCGGTGCGCATAAAATGATGCTGCTCCACATAATGATGACGCTTTCCGTCCACCAGCTGACTATACCCGATCACAATCGGCTGTTCTCGCAGTATCATAAAGACGTGCGAGTCCACAAAGAAGATCAATTGTCCACTCTCGGTCACCTCCAGCGGCAAGCGATTATTGTAAACGTAATAAAACTGACGCGACTGCACAATAATGAACTTCTCAATCGTAATATCCTTTAATTGTGTCTCCAGCGTAAAGCCAAAATAATGGCTGTCCACGCACGTCTGATACGACAGCGTCAGCATGGGCTGGCAACTGCAATAGATAGAAGAAAAATACTTTAAATTTGGATTGAATTACATAAGCTTTGTTATATAAATAAACAAACAACATTCATAAAATAAATATTAAATACACATATATATATCATTAGGTTAAGAATTAACTATATACATATAAATTCAAGCGGCAAATTAACTTCAGCAATTAAAACCAAAAGCAGACTTTAAACAGGAATGAGTAATACGTATAAATATAAAGTAAAGCATGTCAATTGATAACACAAAATAAGAGAAATTATATATACATATATAGTTTATACAAAAGTATTTTGTATTGCCTTTTTATAAGATCGTCATGAATTCAAGTAGGACTTGCAGGTCTTCATGTTTAGATAGTGTTATATAAACAATAATATTGGAAGTTATTCTATTAATTACAACATTAATCTTGTAATCTATTTGTGTATGGATTTAAGTATGTATGTATATATGTCTGTGTGAATGTGTGTGTGTGCGTATGTGAATGTATGTATGTGCGTATATATGTATGTATGTATGCACGTATGCATGTAAAGAAGAAGACCAACTTGTCTTGTTGCGCGGCAAATTTAAATTAGGAAACGTAGCTGCCCTCCTCCTCGATTCTCAAAAATGTAAGTAAGGCCGGCAGGCTTCACCTATAATTTAGTCGCAGAAAAGTTCTGGTGCTGGAAGCTGAGGAGCCGGAGGAGCAACGCGGAGGACCAGGAGGAGGAGCACCAAGGGGGCGGAGCAGGAGGCGTAGGTAGGTATGTAGGTATGTAGGTATGTAGGTATGTAGGTATGTAGGTATGTATGTATGTATGTATGTATGTATGTATGTATGTATGTATGTATGTATGTATGTATGTATGTATGTATGTATGTATGTATGCATGTATGTATGTATGTATGTATGTATGTATGTATGTATGTGCGTATGTATGTATGTATGTGCGTATGTATGTATGCGCGTATGTATGTATGTATGTGCGTATGTATGTATGTGCGTATGTATGTATGTGCGTATGTATGTATGTGCGTATGCATGTATGTATGTGTGTACGTATGTATGTGCGTATGCATGTATATATGTTTGTATGTGCATATGTTCGCTTGACATGGCACACTCTTCTGTTCCTATATACTTAAAATGTATAATTTGCAAGTTATAAACTAGAATTTTGGGTATAATAAAGCATGCAATTATTAAGTTATATTTAATTAGTTGCACAAACAGATGTGCCTGGTGTACGCCTCCAACTGATATAAGCTCTAAGCATGAAGAATCTAGACGACGTCTACATCCGTATACGTTACGTGTGCATCTAGGCTTTCAAATCAAATACAAATCATAAATCTTATAATATTATCACTAATTTCTACTCCATCAGCTGGCTGACTATCTTTTTGGGAGCAATAAACTAAAGAGAAGATTACGGCACACATACGCCTTGTTCTATTTCTACTATGGCACTTACTATTTTGTCATTTTCTGCAACGACTCAAAGTCCGACTCATCGCCATGGTATTCGATGTGTTCCTCGTACTTCTCAATGCTATCAAAATTACATTGACAAATGTAGCAACCCATCGAACTTAACTCAAAGTCCACATTACGTTCTTGCTTTTGAGTCTTTTGGTATTTTAACGGTACCGGCTCGGCATTTTCATCCAGCACATATTCTGTAAAACGAGCATATAGAAGTAAATAACATAAGCAAAAGTGTTCTAGTCAAAAGTGCTCAACTGCTGCTACCCTGTACCCAGTTATTAATTGAAAATGAATCTACAGGCAAATTTTATAAAGCTACAGCTAGATATAGATACATAGCATTAAGGCGATCGATACTTATCGATCGGGTTGTAATATGCCTAGAGATTTACGGATTCACACAGCGAACGAACATGTTCGGCTTGTTGCTGATCAAGATTCAACATTTTTGTATATGTTTTGCGTGGGTACAGGGTATTCAGATGGAAATGTTTGGAATGAAAATATTTACTTTGGGTAATCGGACTGTCCTGCGTAGAGTCCGTCACATTGCTGACAGCAGCAAGATCATTTTGCCTCTGCTTTTCGTCAATTGCATTATACTTCTCCTTGCGGAACTCCATCAGAGCTAGACTCTTGATGCGGTAATTGGAGTCGCCACGCGGTGTGTTCATCAAGAAGTTTGTACGCTGCAATAGCGAACCAATCTGTAAATAAAGAGAACCGCAATTGTATATAATTGTTATGAACTTGAATATGCATACATACGTATGTCCATAGCGAATTGGTATTTCGAATTGTAATCGAGTGTGGTTTTATATGTATGTATTATAAGTATACACATAGTACGTGCTATCAGTCATTGTTTTATTCAAGTGTTTCCTTTGTTGGCGCAAATTCATAATATAGATAAAGTCTTTAAAGACAAAGGAACTTACAAAACCCAAGAAAATAAAATATTTACTCGCAAAAAGGGGAATACCAGGTATTCGGCAGCTACATTTCGTAAACAAATCTATATTAGCTTATTGTTTTTGGTTCTCCCATACTATTTTTTTAAGAGCCAGACAATGAGCGAAAAAATATCTAAATACACAGTTTAGCAAACATACACGTCACCACCTATTTGGGCAGAGCCGGGGCTGTGCTTCTTCCATTTCTTGGGTTCAGGTTATAAAATTTGCATTATTATGGTTACTAAATGAGTTTATACCAAAAATATTTGCCAGAGCCACTCAAAAGGGACTAGAAAAATGGACTTGAAAAGGGACTTAAAAAAGGGACTAGAACTAGACTAGATGTAGAACGACTGAACTCCTCAAATATATATATATATACCATAATATTCTTCTACCTATGTAACGCATTTGTTTAACTTGGCTATTTATACATATGTGCATACATTACAAGTGATAGCACATGCTTAAGTACATCCAGATCGGTTTTTAATCTCCTCTTTAGGGGGCTTCCCTGTCAAACAATGCATTAGATAACCGGCTCAGGGCAAGCGCTTTAGAGTTTATCACAGCTGATCGCAAATCAGCAGCAGCAACAACTACAAAAATAACCCGGCTATAATCTAGCGCTTTAGTCTGGCAAAACCCAAGCAGCCACGAACATATGACTAACCGATTCCATTCAGACGCCGACGGGTGGTAAAGAGAGCGAGATGATAAAGCGCGGCACACACTGAGAACGGATGATAGTCAAAATAAAGATAAGCAAAATTGAGAGCGGTTAGGAAATAAAGAAAGCAACGGTTCTAGATTTATGCCCATAATATGACAAATGTCAAGTTGCATGTATTTAAATACAGTGAACACACAGTACAGCGAACCGAATTTAATCTAATGCAATGGATTAAATGTGATTAATGCTGATTTTTGTATAATCAACTAGAAAAGTTGGTGAATTTAACCCAATCGATAATTAAAATGTTTGCAGTTATTTCCTTTTTGTTTTTTAAGGTTTATAGTAATAGCTTGTTTGATAGTCCCTAAAAATTGACTGCAGTATTCATAAAATTGGGAATTACAGAAAATAGACTCGGACACAAATAAAAATGGGAATTTTTGGTACTTCTTGGTACTAATAGAAAAATTAATAATGAAAATACATATGTTTTTATATCTTTGCTGGTTGTGAACATTTTAGGGACAAGAACTAACTGTCTGTAAGCAACATATAAATATATATATTTACAAACACGACTAGCGAATGTTCGTAAATTAACTTTGTTCTAGTGCTAAGGGCTACTTACATTATAAGCTCCATTGATGGAGAGCTTGATGCGCAGTTCTGCACTATTGGGCTCCCACAGTAGATGCTGTTCAAATTCCCTGCGCAGCGTGCGCTTATCCACATACCAGCTGCTGCGGGCGCTGATCACTTGTTTTTCCGCCATCTTGAGCAAAAAGCAGCCAATCAGCTCACGTTCTAACGATATTTTTGGCTATTAATAGCTTAACAGTTATTGGTAATGTTAAAAGAAAGCACTTACCCCATGGCCTTCGTTGCGGCATTCCATAGAAATCGGCATTGTTGCTGTTGGTGTTTTTGTTTAAATTTAAGACTGTTGTAGCGGGTGGCGTCGCTGGCGGCGTCAAAATTGAAGGTGGCATTGTTGCTGTATTTGTTACGATGTTTAATCTATTGGCAGGGATCGCCTTCTTTTGGCCATTGGCCTTTTTTTGGATTTTATTTTTTGTCATTGTAAATACGTACAAAAGGACAAAAATGCTTTGCACAGCACACACACACACACGCGATCTATCACACGCACACACACACACACACGCAAACAAACAAATACACACACACACAAACACTCAATCACAGTAAGGGCAAAAAAAAAAAATAAATGATCGCACTCTGGATTCTGGTTTCTAAACTGCAATTAAATAGTATATACTTTTTTTATTTGAGTTGACAGCGCAACGCTCACACACACACACACACCACTATGCGAAAAATTTCGCGTATTCATTTATTGACAAGAGGAAAATCAACCTACGCGTCACAATGGTTAAACGGTTAATGACGACAACGACACAGTGGCCGCTGTGCTAACATGCTGGAAATGCGCTTCGATATTGACCTGACAACTCTACGTCACAAGAGATCGACCGATGTGCTGATTCACTCACTCTTGGGAAAGAGCGTTGGGGTCGGCTGTGTACGTGTGCGTCTGTGTGTGTGAGATCGTTTTTGAGATGTGTGCGTGTGCTTCATGTAACGGTAAATAAAGCAATTTTTTGCATCGTTGCCGTACAAAGGCACACGCAGTCATGTATACATACACATACATTCGTACGTATATATACTTACCACTGCGAATTTTTGTTTGCGATAAAAACATGCCACGCCTTCTTAAAATGTATTGTATGTATATATTTTTGTCTGTATTTTTTGGTATGTATTAAAATGTTGCGTATAACACGATTTAAAATAAAACTGAATTCAACTTGTTTGTGTGACTTAAAATGCGTTCTAGTTGTGAAATTACTTGGGGACACGTATACAATCTGTAGGTAAATATGATTTGTGAGAATAAAAAGACGCACCAAGAGCCTGCGAATATAAACCGGGAAAGAACCGAACTTCGACTGAATTACTTTCGCTGTTGGTAGCATATAACTAGTTATCTGCCCGCTTGCCGTGTGACCACCTCTTGCTATTGTGATTAAACCAAGCTGTAGTATTTTTTGTTTCATGGCTGGTCACATTGCGCAGCAATTGGAAACATTTATTTGGAGGGGCATTTTGAGCGTTTTTAGTTTTATTTATATTTTTACAAACTAATCTTACAGCACTAATAAATTATTTATAAGTAAAAACATTTATTTCTTAGCCAGCTTGAGCTTCTCGGACCCAAAAATAACGCCCGTGTCGACCAGCTTGCGTTTCATGGCAAACGGATTGACCGAATTAAGAGGCGTCCGCTGCTCTCCATCAGCTGCAGCTGCCTTGGAATCGCTTGGCTGTGACTCGGACTCGCCAAATAGGTTTTCCTGTGTGTCCAGCGGTGTGGTGGTTTCTGGCGTGCCCGGACGTGACGTTGCTGCCGCCTTAAATAGATTTGGTGTGTTGGAGAAACGTTTTAGTGCGCCGCGCTTGGAGGCGCTAAGCTCCATGGCCTTGGGCGCCAGCTTTGGCGTCACAGTCTGCGTTGGCGCCATGGGCAGCACAATGGTTGCTGCGATGCCATTGGCGCCCAGCAGCTGTTGCTGCTTGCGAGCCTCCTGCACCGCTTCCAATTGCGGAAGCAACTCACACAATCGATCCGAGAGATGTATGCGACCGCGCTTAGAGGCGTATTTGACAGCCAGCTGGAGTAGATCAGTGCAGGCAATGGACTCAATTAGTTCGCGTGCGCGCGTCTCGCATTCGTTGCTGCAGGCCAAGGCGAACAGCTTGATAGCTGTCTCCTTTTGCAGCTTCTCAGCGCCTTCCAGCTGCATTAGGCTAGCGCGCAAGAGCGTGTCCTCCAGTTCGGATTTCTCCAGCTCAATGTCACAGAGCGGCAGCTGCATGCGCAGCTCCTGCAGCATGGGACGCGGATTTGTCATAGGGTACGAGCTGCCACGGCACAGCACAGCCTCAATGATCTGTCTGCGCTCGGAAAGCGCGATTATAAAGTAGTTATTGGACACACTCGAGCTCTGTTTCATGGTGTCGCAAATGGGAAACCAAGCATTACTGGCACGCCGATATAGCTGCACCAGGCCCATGTTATCCGCAAAACAGGGCGAGCCCACGTCCGAAAAGCCTAGCCAGTTCAGTTGCCGTCCCGGCGTCAGCGGCACAGGAAGCTGCTCCACGCGCAGACTTAAGCCGCTGATATTTATTAGCATGGCTGCCAGATGTTGTTGGGTTTCGCTGCTGCCGGCGGCATGGTAAACACACAGCACGCTGTGCTCATGCCCGGCCAACGCCAGCACCGGTCCCGGTATGGTCAGCACCTCACGCTGTGTGCCCATGACGCTGAAGAGGCGCAGAAAATGATTGCTAGTGGCCGCAGCAATTAGATGGCTGGTGGCTACCAGCGCCTCCACACTTTCGCAATCCGGCAGGCTGAGCGACCATTCCTTGTTACCGGCAGCAGCCAAAGCTATGACCACCAGTTTGCTGCTCTCGGTGGAGGCCAGTGCCAAAGCGCTGCGGCTGACACTGGCCAGATTATGCTGATTATAGTTGTTGCTCAAGTGCAGCGCATGATGCACGCTGGCATCATGGAACTCCACATCGATGGCACCGTCACCGCTCGGCTCTGTGTGTGCGGTAACAATGCCCACATCATTCCAAGCCAAATAGCGATGCTCCAAATCGTTAGGTGTAGCGCCTGGCTGAAAAGCCGCCTGTTGCTTGAAGAGCTTCAGCTGTGGGGCAGGTGGTGCCGTGCTACTGCTGGCAAGGGAGTGCTTGGAGTGCTCATCGTCTAGGGCATCCGGCTCCATATTGGCAGCGTTGCTCATAACTTTGCGCTTTAGCTGCTCCAGGCTAACGCCATCGCCATCATCGGCGTCCGCCATATTCTCATCATCGCCCTGCTCAAATTCAAAACCAGTGCCCGTCAGCAGTTCATCCTCCTCTGCCAGCTCACCGTCTAGACCTTCCTGCGGCTCTTCGTCGCCCAGAAATATGGTGCCCAATTGGCCGGTTGCATCGCAATAAGCCAACTCATCTACATTGACCGGATTCCAGGCCAAGCATGTAATGGCTTTGCAGTCGCTGGGCGGCGCCTCTACCTGCAGTGCCTTGCGCCGCGTCACATCAAATATGCTCAGCTCCCCGCTGGTAGTGCCCGCTGCCAGACGCTCGCCATTTGGCGAGAACTGACAGCAACTGTAATTGCTCGAAACGCGCTCGTCCTGCAGTCTGTAGGCCACCTCCCAGTTGGATGTATTCAGAACAATCAGCTCCTTGTCCAGCGCATAGGTCAACTGTTCGCCGCGCTGTGGCTCAAAGCTGGGCGTGCCAAACAGAGTAGCGCCCTCAAAGCTATTGACGCGCGGCAAGCCCGCCAGGCTTTTCAGCTCCACGCCTGTCTCGAAGTTCCACACCTTGAGCTGACCATCGCCTGCCACAGAAGCCAACAGCTGGCGCTCAGCGTACACATCCAATGCCAATATGGGTCCCTTGTGCCCCGCCAGTGTTTTTTCGGCGCCTGCATTGTCACCATGTAGCACCTTAATGCTGGTATCCTCGCTACCCGCGGCTGTATACTGCCCGCAGACACGCAGACACGTAGCAGGCGCAGTGAATCGCATCAGAATGCCATCGCTGTCCATATCCGGAAAGGTGTACGCGTGCACCGTATTGCGGTCTGTGGAAGCCAACAGCCGGCTGCCCGTATGCGCAATGCTCATGACAAACTCGCCCAGGCAGGTGGAACGCGGATCATCGTCGCTGATGCAGGTCCAGTGGCGTATATCGCCATCGGTGCCACAGGTGATAATGAAATCCCCTTTGGGCGTGTACAGCAAGCCCGTGTAACCGTTAGTGTGCGCATAGCGCAGCGAGCTGCGCGAAAAACTCATTTTATATTATTAAATATTGGCTGAGCTCCGATCCTCGCTCTTGCAGCGTTTCGCGCCAAAACAAAACTCAACAGTGCTGGACAACGTGCAGTGCCGAACACTGTGCAGTACTGTTTCTTCAGTTTTGCAAGAACGCAGATATGCAGTTCATAAGCTTGCGAAAATTTACTTAGTTTAGTTATTAATAAATGTTTATATATAAAATACGAGTGATAAACAATATGTAAATAAATAAAGCATAAGACTAAAACTCATTTTCACTAGACATGTAAAAGGCGAATAATCCACACTCAACTTGCACGAACAGCGTACTTGGCCTACAAGAAAACAGCTGTTCTGTGTGTTATTATTTCGGTAGCTATTGCCGGCCTTACGGCATAATAAATATTAAATAATGCTAAAAACGTGTACGAAACGCCTAACAAGCAATTGTGGTGCTTGGCGTTGCCTTGCAACGCAACCAACGTACATGAATATCTTCGATAGAAACACAAAGCGACTGCAAAAGGAACGCGCCGCGCTGAGGTGAGATCTGCTCGTAGTGCAATTGAGTCTAGCTAACAGTATTGAAACCTTAACAGCGCAGATGTGGCGACGTATGATTACCTAAAGGAGGAGGTGGGCTTTCGTCTAGCGGATCGCGTGTTTGACATTAAGCGCGAGTTCAAGACAGCTGCGGATATTGGCTGTAATCGCGGCTATATATCCAAGCACATACTTGCCGAGTGCGTGGAGCACCTGACGCTGACCGACACGAGTGCCACAATGCTGGATCAAGCGCAGGGCACGCCAGGACTGAAAATGCGCAAACTGGTGCAGGACGAGGAGCATTTGGATGTGGGTAAACGCGTGCAACTTGAACTGTGAGCTGCAATATAAGCACTTTCTGCCTTTGCAGTTTGAGGAGAACTCGCTGGACTTGGTCATATCCAGCTTGAGCTTACACTGGGTGAACGATTTGCCCGGCTGCTTTGCAAGCATTAAACGCAGCCTGAAGCCCGATGGCGTGTTCATAGCCTCACTGTTTGGTGGCGATACTTTGTATGAGCTCCGTTCCTCTCTGCAACTGGCCGAGCTGGAGCGCAAGGGTGGCATCGCGCCGCATGTTTCACCCTTCACACAGATTCGCGATATTGGCTCGCTACTGAATCGTGCCGGCTTTACCATGCTGACAATCGACACAGACGAGCTGGTCATTGGCTATCCTAGCATGTTTGAGCTAATGTGGGATCTCAAGGGCATGGCCGAGAGCAATGCCGCCTTCAATAGGCCAGCGCATCTCAGTCGCGAGACGATGCTGGCGGCCAGCGCCATATACAAAGAGCTCTACAGCAAACCCAATGAAGAAGGCGTACCGGCGACATTTCAAATTATCTACTTAGTAGGCTGGAAGCCCGGTCCCAATCAGCCTCAACCGCTGCCGCGCGGCACAGCCGAGGTATCGCTCAAGGATCTGGGCACCATTGTAGAAAGAGGCGGCAAAATCAAAATAGATCCCGACACGTGAACCTGTAGTCTGATAAATCGTCATAATAAAATTCAATTTTAAAGCTTATTTTGAAACGCACTTTGAAAATTTAATTTACAATCAACTTGTAACTTAAACAAAAAAAAATGAAAAACATGTTTTGATAAAGCAAAAGTTTCATGTTTATAAGACGAACATAGGGCGCAGTTCTATTTCATTTGTTTCACGTGCGTGCTAAACTTAAATTATGCATATACATAGTTGTTTTTCCTTTTAAATATAAATTACTTAAATTTAAGTATAAATTTGCATAGTTAGGCATACTCAACTATACACATAGATAATAATAATCATTCGTTAGCTCTTGTTATTAATCAACTCACTTGCTTATATTTGGTAGCACTTGTTATATATTTCATGGACGTAACTTTTTATTTTTTGTTTTGTATTTTTTTTAACGTTGCTTTGTATTTTGTTTGGTACGTATATACAAGTACAATTTACAACATGTCTATAATAACTATAATTTATTAATATATATATATATATATATATATATATATATATTTATTTCTATAACTATATTGTTGTTCAATATCCAATTGTTTGGTTTTAAATATATTATTTTTAGTTTTGTATTAAATACGAGTTGCTCTTGCTACAACAAATATTTGTTGCATTTAATTCTCGATTGCTTTGTTTTTAATGTTTTTTTGTTGTTTTTTTTTATTTTTTTTTTTATTTTTGTTTCGGGCAGTTGGCCCTTGTCAGTTTTTTGGCTCTGTTTAAAAGTCCTTTACGCAAATAAGCACAAAGTTTCTTTACAAGCACACTTTGTTAAGTATTTATGTACAAAGAATATGTAACAAAAATATTTGCCGAATAATTGATTTAGCGAACAATTTTGTCAAGAACAAGAACTTGAAATTTGCGAAACATTTTTTTGGCTGCTCTTTCGTTCTTTTTGTTTGTTTTTTTTTTTTGTTTTGTTTGTGTTTTTTTTTTAGTGGCAAGGCGACAAATCTTAAAACTAGGCACAGGACAACGACGACGTTGGACACAATTAGAACTGCTTAACGGCTGTGCTCAGCGTCCTTATGGGTGTCGATGTCGGCGTCGTCCTGGCTAATCATCCCAGCGCCAATGGCGAGCGTGGCGGCACTGGCGGCGGTGTGGCTGTGTTTCTGGCTGTTGCTGTGATTGTTGCAGTGCTTGTTGTTGTTGTGGTTGTGGTTGTTGCTGAACTGATTGCTGATGTGTGGCTATTGGCTGCCGCTGCGGACATCGCGTTGGATGCCGGCGGCAGCTGACGTCAGGTGCCCAGCAGCAGCTCGCGTTGCGGAGCATTTTGCAGCATATTGGCGGTTTTTAAATGAATGCTGCAACCAGAAATAAAATCCAATTAGTATATATAAATATTTAAAGTGTCAAAAAGTGTGCTCACTTATTGTCCTCCAGCGACATTGTCTCCGATGAGCCGTGCGAGGCAACTGAAGTACCTGCAAGCGAACTTCGTATTGAGTGCGAATCCTCGGGAACAGTAAGCGTAACTAATAGTTTATGTTTTCGTTTGTATATGGTATAATTTATTTAGACGTTTCAACGTTTGCCAATTTGTTTAAAGAGTTTGTTGTTTATTTTCCAATAGTTGCGTTTCCCAATGCATTGTAGATGTTTATTTTTATTTTTATTTTTTTGTGTATTTTGAAAAAGAATTTGCATTTAGTTGAGTTGACGAATTTTGGTTAAAATTGTTAGTGTATGTTGTGTTGTGCAAAATAAAATAATTGTTTTTTTTTTTAATTGTTATTTATCAAATATGAGCTGCAATAGTTTGTTCTAGGTTTGAAAACATGCAAGTGTGATAAAAACAATAACGAGCAAAAAGAAATCATATGTTCAGTACAAAAATCAAATATATTTATTTTCGTGTGGCATTTAACTAGTATATTATATATATAGATTATATGTCTATATAAGGTTTTGCTAGAGCTACTACATTATGAATTTGGCTTTAACTTGAACATTAACTAATGTTTGAGTGCTTGTGTGTGTGTGTGTGTTTTTTAAGTAGCACAAATTTATATATAAATGCAAACCTAAATTAAGGCAGAAATATAATTATTATATGCAATTGCATACATACATGTTTTGTTCTATATAAGGTTTAGGTTATAACAAGGAGTGTGAGGAGCATTAATAAATATATATTTTTATATATGTGTATATAAAGAGTAGTAAATAGATTAAGTTAGTTTTAGTTGGATTGTGCATTGAAAATCGTTGTACGAATTGCTGGAATCGTTGGTATCTTAGGAATTATCAGTTTTTGTTGGTTTTGTTTTGTTTTTGTTTGTGGAATATATATGACTGATTTCTATAATATGTAAGTAATATCAGTAGTGTTTGAGAAATTGTACTCTTAAATACAAAACGTTGACTTTAGACAAAAATTACGTTTAACAATTTATGTGCTAGGCAACAATTTTGATAGCCAAATGTTGTACGAAAATTAAAGCTAATTATATTAATTTTTCTTTTTCAACTAATTAATTGGCATAACATTCAAGTTGAGCAACGGCAAATCAATAAGGGGAATAAATTCAAGTACAAATTTGAACTTAAATGCTACGACATATGGATAGAAGAAATAAACAGACTAAAGACGCGTATTCTCCACGCTCAGCGCATCATCGTTATCGTCAACAACATCATCGACAACATTATGAACATAATTTTTATCATTATGATTAACAGCATTGTTCAATAACTTCTCCTTTTGGTTATCAGCTCCGTTCTGCATTAGAGTGCGTACGTTGTGTGCTGCTGGTTGTGTCTGCTGATGATGCTGATTCTCGAGCTGCATCTGCAGCTGCTGGCCTTGTAGCGCCTCCAACGCTCTGTCCAGATCAAGACGATTGCGACTATCGCTTTCGCTACAATAGCTGTGCCGCTGATTTGATAATCTATCGGCTGAGGTGTGCTGCATATAATGATGATGATGCTGCTGCTGCTGCTGCCAAGGATAGTTGAGGTTGTTAACGCTCTGGCTGCGGCTGTCTTCGGGGCCGGTGATCACAAAGCCATTGCTATAGAGCGAATAGCTACTAATCGCCGGCGAGGTGGCTAAACTAGTCATACTTTGATAGGTTTTCATTGAATACGCATCACCTACGAACAATAGAGATTAGGCAGTTGTTTTTTTTTCGGATTGGGTTTTAGTTTTAAATTGGAGAGACGCCACACACAGTTATCACAAGATCCCAAGAGACATTCCCGCGCAGACATTGAGAAGCGTTTTTAATTGAATAAATGTGTGTGATACATATGGAGCGGACAATGTTAGACAAAATGTGATTGGGATGGAACATTATATCGAATGACATGTTGTGAACTGGTCGCATATTTAATATAAGCGTGACACGGCGCATTTTGCTTCAGCTTTTAAATATTTACACATATAATTGATATCGCTTATCTCTCCGTTTTTCGTATGTACAGCTTTTAGTTTTTAGTGTCCGCAACAACCAGAACTCTAACAATAAGCCGCTGCCTAGGGTAATATATATAAATATAGCCCACAACCGAACAAAATATAACATACGCCCGACTGCTGCAGCATATTAATTTAAACGGGTCAAAGAACTTTGCGCCGCTGACTTAATGCAACATTTTTTTCAAGCTTGTCGCAATTTGTGGGTTGAAGTTCAATCCAAACAATTAAAGAAAACGCAGTGAATTCAAACTGATGTGGCTTTATGTCAGTATTACCTCATTTATACTGATATACGTACGTATATAACTTGAAGAAACTTTATAGACAGATATCATGGTTTTTTCTTTCAATTTGCAAAGAAGAAAACTCGATACGACCGCTTAAGTTGACGCATAAACAATGTATACATATAATGGCTTATAGAGATTGCCGATGATGACGTTGTTTTGACTGCTTATCAGTGACGATCATTAAAAAACAAGCCTTCAGTAAAGCCGATATAAACAAATTTATGAATGTATATGCCATCACAACAAACCAAATAATAAATAAACTCATATATACAAAAATGGGAACTCTATGACAGACGTAAAACAATAAGTACACATATGCCTTAAGCTCAACAAAAAATACAAATAAGGAAACTTTGTACATAAGTAAAACGATTGTAAAACTAGAATACGTATAAGGTATGTAATACAGTAGAGTTTTGTTTCTTTTTTCTTTCTAATTATACACATAAATTCCGATTTATAAGCTTGCACCACACACACTAAAAATTATAATCAAGTGCTGTTTATATTATTGTATAAATTGATAAGCTTTATGTTGTTATTTTAGTACAGAAGCAAGCGTTAGTAAAGGTGTATATAAAGACAGTCAAGTTTAGTAGTTGTGCCATTATAAAAATATAATAAAGCTAACTCACCAGTTGCGCACTCGGATGTCTCATAGGACACTGTAGATTGTACCTCAATTGCGTTTTGTTCTTGTCTATCAGAATATAAAACAAAATATTTATAACGCATTATACATCATTATAGTCCAAATGTTCAACCTTGATATCACATCGGTTAAGACTTGCTTTTCCGTATCGGTATAGTCACGTCGGCGACCAGTTTTTTTCTCACGATCCGCCTCCACAAACATGCCCAGCGGTCGTGTGGGAAACTCATTGGATTTCGCTGGCGGAGGTACATCGAGTTTCAGATCCTTTAGCTTCTTCATAACGCGCTCCAGCGCCTGAATGGCATCGTCGTCATTGTAACCAAAATTCTTGTGCAGCTTCACCTGCAAGTATTCAATAATGCCATCCATATCCTTGAGGCGCAACAGCTCATCCTTGTGCAGATAGAGTATGGTCACGGCCATGGCCAATATAACACGATCGCCGTCCAGCAGAAAAATATCCCATACGCGTAAACTAAGACTAAACGGCACCTATAATACAAAGAAACGACTTCAATTAAATGGAACACGCATTGGCATTGACATCAGTTAACTCACACGCTCCACAAAGACCACAAAGAACCACTTGATGGCATAGAGCAGCGCATCCACATTGTGTTTCATAAAATGCTTGTGCAGTTTACGCATTATCTTGGACAATATACGATCATGATGCTCGATGAAGCGTGTCAGCTTTGGAAAGCCCTCAATGAACAGCCCATGCATGCCATATTTACGATCCGTGATGAGCGTGTTGAGTGCCCAAAATGCCTCTTCCTCCTGCATGTAGAGCAACAATACGCCCGCCACACATGCCATGCCCTGACAGTAGCCAAGCTCCGAGTTGTAAATGCTGTAAGCGTTCAGCACATTGAACAGGGAGCATTGCTTGACGCTATAGCGTTCCCGATAGGCCAGATTGTCACGAAACTGACGATTCACGTCCGCATCGATTTGGCGCGTCTCAGTCGCATTCTGCTTGGCCATTTGCAGCATGCGCATATAGACGCCCGCATTGGTGTCCATCGAGTGCTGGACATTGAGCAGCTGTTTCCACGCCGGCCAACGCATCCGATCCGGTATTCCCTTGTATACGCGCTTATGCAATTTCTCTTGTGGCGGCGGCCAGTGATTTAGCATTTTCACCCATTTTTTATCGCGTTCCAATTCGATCCTTGTGCGTTGCACTTCCTGGGAGTCGCGTGACGATGGCAGGCGGGAGTCGTGCATGAAGCCGTATCTAAAAAAAAAAATAAAATAAAAAAAATAGATATTAAAAAACGTTTAGTTAATAATTTTCGGTGTCATCGCAACTGATAAGATACCAAGTAGCAAACGATTTCATCAGGAATACAAATTCCTCTGTGCTTTTTATACATTCCAACGTACTGAGGCACACAAGATATTGCCTTACGGCTAAGATAATCTATGAAGCACTATTTAACAGTTGATCTTACATATAAGAATGTGCCAAATTGAACATATATATTTTGTAACTGCATTAATTAGACTGTGTGAGCTGCCACACTGCACAAACTGCTTTTACATTATTCAATACATTTTCTGATGTTGTTGAACACTTAAATGCTCAATACGCCCTCTTTTGTTGCCCATCAGATCTGGTCTCTTTGAAGGGTCTAACAGTTTTTTTTTATCTATCACTCTGAACACGTCATAATAAGTTTTATTTATTGCCACTTACTTGTCGGTTATATGATAGATTTCAAATGTGGGATTCTCCCAGGAGTCGACGACATTATTGGGATCCAGGCCCAACTCATAGCGCTTGAATATGTCCTCGCGTTCGTCTTCGGCGCGTTTCACTAATGCATGTTGCTGCTGCTGCTGTTCGCCATTATCATGGGCGGGCGGAGCGGCTGTCATTGTGGGCGTGGGCAAGCAATCGGCATCCAATTGCTGCTTTTACTGCTGCTGTTATTCCGCTTGTGGTTTTTGTCGTTCTCCGTTATGGCTCCGTTTGGTGTTTGTGTGTGCTTGGCAAGAATGTTGAATGGGAGCGGCTGCTGCTGTTTGGCGATAGCGCGAAACTTTTGTTTTAAGATAAAAGCCAACAATAAAAAAAAAATACCAGCATTAACATATGAAAACGAACTCTAGTATGCACACAGTCACACACACAGGCACACATACACACCAATCAACAGTAAGTTTTGTACATTCATTTAAATGCAAGTCTTCGATTTCACTGCAAAAAAAAGTTTGTTGCATGTGTGCGTGTGTTTTGCTTTTTAAATATGCAGCAACAACAACAATAACAGAGAGAGAGAGAGTGAGCGAGAGAGGGAGAGCGCGTTAGCGTTGCCAAATGACGTGATATTCAATAATATTTAAAAGCGTCCCTGAAGCGGCATCAAATGTAAAACAACAACAATATACTACAAAAAGTTACTAAGAAAACGAAAAAACGCCCCCACAACGAATGATCGAATGAGCAGGCAAGCGTGGTTTGATTTTTTGATGCAGCAATTTTTACAATTGTTTTATGAATATTTGTTTTCACTAAAATTGATCTCCTTGTGTTTATCTTATATACACTTCCTGTTTTGATTTTGCTTTGACTTTTTTTATTTTTGTCAACACTCACTCACGCTTACATACAGACATGCACTCACACACATACACAAACGCATAGCGTTTTGTTCTGGTGCTTTCACTGTTTTCTAGTTTTTGCTGTTTGGGCTGTTATGCCGCAGTTTCAAAAATTGCGCTTATTACCATTTAATTTTGTTATAATTTATGTACAATTTGTGTTCAATTAATAAAAATGAGCACGTTTACTGTTTTTTCAGCCTGCATGTTGAGCGAGATTTGACTTAACAGAACTGAGTGCCCCCACTTAGCAGACTACTGTTTGTTAACATCATCCAGCGTTGCCAGAGCTTGATAAAGGTTTAGCATTTGGCGCGCGTCACAGTACGGCAACACTAAGCGCGCTGAACTAGCTCGATACACAAACCTAACTATTATCGATAGCTTTGATAGCTGGTTCGTACGTCTTCGACCATTTTTTTTGCGTGTATGTAGTTTTAATTGTGCTGGTCGAAAAAATTGTGTAAAAAGTCCATGAAAACGTCTCAAATTCATCCAAAAAGTGTTGTGCTGTGCACTAAACGCGTACGCACATTACAAAACATACGAAAAACAATGCACACACAATAATTCCATTGAATAAAACGGGTAAGAAAAACGCTATGCCCAAAGTGCGTAGCAAATTGCTCTCAGAGTTTCCACTGCTTTGCGCTGTACACACACACACACACACACACTCGTTCAAACGAGCTGGATGTGTAGTTTGGGTACATGTTTTGAATGATGCTTGTCATCGGTCGATTGTCAATCAGTTGATAATCGAAATTAAAAACCGCAATTAACTAGCATTTGCCCGTACTCGCACACGGTTATAGCATTTGTCCATCAAAGCGGATACAGCCTGTCCCCAAACACTTTGAGCCGTTGCCACAAATACTTCGGAGATTAACGACTGCATTTGCTGTTGCTCGATCGGTATGGTCTCAACGCGCCAAATGTGCGGCAATGCTGGAGGCGCCGGCTTCGATGAGACGCCAACATCCACCCGTGCCACGGTGGTGCGTCGCACCACACACTATCAGCCTCATAATCAGCAGCAGGTTGCCACCTGCACGTCGGCAGCGGGTGCGGCGGCGCCCGTTTTACAGTTTTTAGACTTGCCCACGGAGCTGATCATCAAAACACTCGGCTATTTGGATTATAAGAAAATCAGCAATTTGAGATTGGTAAGTGGCTAAAGAGAGCGGGCTATTGGGGATTTTCATTATTTAATCAATAAAAAGCAATTTGCAAAATGTAAGTAGAATGCGCGTGGGTCGTGTTTGGCTAAGTATGTAGCTAGAGATGGGCTGAGGGGCAGGGGCATATTAGTTCACTACCTGCATGCACTTGTGCTTGTTGTTGTAATATTTATTATTATTGCCACTGAAAAGTCGCTAACTGAGTTGACCGCGTGCCGTGACACGAACGGACACGATTCATGTTGGTGCGTGTTCAGGTAGACAAGAAAAATACTAGCCCAATGTAAAGGTATCATAATGAAAAATACCAAAAATATTTAACTGCATTCTTATTGGAATAGCCCAGTAAATAATCGCTCAGTACAGTAATCGCTCGCAAATTACCTTTTTATACAAAATGCTTCTATGGGATATGCTATTATTATTCCTAAATACCTAACTACAAATTGTTACATCTTGACAACAAATTTCATAAGTCATTAAACAAAGTTTTATTGCAGTGTTTACATGATCAATAATTCTTATATTTATTGCAGTATTTACATGATCAATAATTCTTATAGACGCTTTATAACAGAATGGTCTAAAGTTATGTTAATGATAATTTGAAGACAAAGTTTTAAATACTGAGCGTTCACTGTAGATTTACGATATCGTTTTAATATGAAAAAGTTATCTGAAATCTGAACTAAACTCAATACAAATAATTTAAAGTGCGGTGTATTTCACGCGCTCATCTCTATGTTTTTTTCTTGGTTTTTTGTCATGCATTTGATTTTGTGTTCATGTGTATCGGTTTGCCTATGTGTGTGTGGTAGTGTTTGCATGTGTGTGTATGTGTATGTATGTGTGTATATGTTGTGCCTGAGTGCAGTAGGTAGCTAAATGTAATCTGATATATTTTTGAGATGCTCTCTAATTTTGAATGCGGGATGCTGCTGGCGCTGCCCTTTTATACCAAATACCAATTGTTAACTCAAAAGTAATATAAAGTTTTTATTTTTCTGAAATTTGCAGGTGTCCAGTCGCATGAACGACATTTGCATGAATATGCTAAATGTGGATTTCGCCAGGCAAATTAAGACGACTTTCAATCGCTTCCAGTCGATCAAGTCGAGCATGCCGCGTCGGGAGTCGGCACGCCGCCAGCATCCGCTGGCCTGCGAGTGCGACATCATCGAGACATGCTATATGCGCCTCTCGTTGCTCCAGATGTCGATGGGCAAACACATTGAGCGTGGCCATTGCTGTTTCTTTCCGGGTGCCGTAAGTGAAGCTTGTAGTCGGTGTCAATTGGTTTTTCTTCAAGGTCTTAATCAAATTTATTTCACAGATACTTGATGAGGTGCACTCGATTTTGAACTATATCAGTATTACGCCGCGTTTGCAGCGTCCTTATCGCGTCACCGATGAACTCTTCGATCTCTCGACCATGGCCATGGAGTACTTTAAGGATCGTATTGAGCCCACGCTGCCAGGGCTGGCGTATTTCAACAAGGACTTCTTTCAATTGCCCGCTACCACAAAGCGGCGTAAGTATTGATTTTTTAAATTGAAATCTTTTTAGTTGCTCATTAAACATCATCTCTCTGTTTCAGCTACCTTGGCTATTAGCTCGGATCTCTCAGACAGTTCGAATAACTCACCACCTCAAAACCACATGGTTTTGCGTAAGGGCATACGCAAGATCAAACAGGGCATGAAGATGTACAATAATCAGCTATCGGTGCTGCGCACCGAGCTCCGCACCTGCAAGCGCAAGGCCGCTGAGCAGAGCAAACAGCTTGCGGAGCAGCAAAATCTATTGGCGGAGCACCAGAAACAGACGCTCGAATATGCAAACCGTCTGGACGAGAATGACAAAAAGAATGAGGAAATGGCACGGAAGTTTTCCACATTATTGCAGGTCAGTTAGTTAGTTAGTAAACTCGAAAATATTCCCAGAACCTTGTATATGTGAAATTATTTGTCACAATCGAATGACTGATCTAACGGGAAACGAATACGATTGCTCCCAAAGATTTGGAAAATGTACTTTAAACAGTTCTTTCCAGGGTGAAAAATTGAATGAAAGTTTGGCTGAACAAAAGTTCAATTAAAAAGTTAACATTAACACAGTTACTGAATACTTGTGATAATAGTTGTTACTATATATATATTATTATATAGTATATTTGTGTATATGCTTACCATATTTGCAGGAGCTCAACAAGTGCAAAACCGAGTTACAATTTTGGCGCTCAAAGAGCCCCGCCATATCATCAGTGTGCAGCTCGTGCAATCAGAAGGTGGCACCAGTACTGCAACCCGAGGATTTGCAGGCGCTGGTCAATCAGGGTGTCGATCCCGGACACATAATCATTATCAACGATGAGACCGATCCAGAAGCCGATGCGGATGGCGCGGTTGAAGGCAATGTGAGCGGCTGTGAGCTGGCTGTGTCTGTTGACAAATCGTTTGCCTTTCCGGACGAAAGCACCACAGCCAAGCTGTTGGCCGTCAACACGGCCGCCAAGAATCAGAAACGCAAATATGCGGCAACGGTGGACACCGAAATCGCTGCAACGTCCAATGCAATTGCGTCCAATGCGACACCGTCTTATTCAAAAGCTGTGGCCCAGCAAACAACAAGCGCCAGCTGTGGCTATTCAACAAAACTCTTTTATGGCAATCATCAACGCAGCGGCGTCATCGTAAGTCCAGTGTCCATGAAGCTGGCAACGGTGCCAGACAATAGCAATGGTATGCCACCAGCCAGTGTGCAACAGTTGCTGCAGCAGCCAGACAATGGCGATGCATCATTGCTGGCCGTGGGGGCGACGGAGTCTGCGAGCAACTTGGTTCTCGTGGAGCAGGTGGAGGCGAAGAAGGCACGTAGAGTACAAAAGGCCAATAGGTGTTTAAATGCACATGGCAAACGCAGTAAATAAGCATAAAAACATATACAAATTAAATTTTTTACTACTTACTTATACATAAACATATATTTACATATAAAAGTCGCACACACGCACAACACACCCGGAGTGCAGCAAAAGGCTTGTGAGTGTGTGTGTGTCTGTGCCTGTGTGTGCGCTGTAGTGTTAAAAAAAAAAAAAAACAACAACAACAGGAATTAAATTAAATATATATACATTCATATGTAGTTACCTATATGTACATGTATATCTTTTACGAACATTGATTATCATTATTATTATTATTATTACCATTTACAAAATGTATCTGTATGTTCTACACACAACCACAGCCACAAGCAAAATATAAAATCATTTTGAAACACATATACACAGCAACTTGTATGTAGTTTTGAAGTATAGACAGAGCAAAAGCGATAATAATAATTTAAAAGCAAAATAATTTTTAATATTAGTAGCCACACACATACACACAACAAATTAAGGCAGGTGTGAAAAAAAAAAACAAAACAAAAAATCATGAAAAGAAATGGCAAAGAAATATTTTAAATAAAACTTTAACGCATACAAAATCAGGTGCAAATGTGTTTGAACTTCTATCTTGAAATACGATAAAAATTATTCCTATTGAAAAACAAACAATATTTCGGTGCGTTTGTAAATGTTGTGCGGAACACAAACTTGAAAAAAATGACAGCGTTGCCACCTAACAGAGTTAAAAGCGGTTATAATAAAAGCCGATATACAAGTCAGTGGTCCTCATCGATTGCGATAACTCCTTTTCGTTTAACAGTTAATTATCGATATCTATGGGGCAAATTGAAAACCTTATAAAATATGTGAAAGTGCGCGTCCAACAAAGAGAAAATTGGGCAGTCGCGGTTGCTAAAGAGGCAACTAACTAAAAATAATCGACCATGTGTGGCGTTGGGCACGCAATTAGCCAAAGTACTTAGCAAAGCGACGCAACCGAGGGAAATATTCTGTTGGGGTCGGCTACCAGTCGAGAGAGCAAACCAATCTCCTGCTATATTTATAATTGGCGACTCCAACTAACGCGTCTGGCAGTCACTCTTAGCGCTCGCTTTTGGTCGAGCACAGCGCGCATTACCGTGAAAAAATTAACCAAAAAAAAATTATTTAAACGCTTTGTCTTGTTGCTTTTGTAGGTGGATAACACGTAATCGAGGCAAATGCAAGATTACAGCGAAAAACTGAACGATGTCTACGATGAGCAGCTGGGCAGGTGCTGGAATTGTGCTAGACAAATATTGCATAAATATATTGATATATTTTTTGTACATCATTTTGCAGGCATCTGGTTGCCAGCATGAGCATCGAGGCAGGCGAAACGCTGCTGGACGAGCGACCGCTGCTGGTGGCGCCGCATTGGGAATGCGGTCAGCTAAAGTGCGCCCAATGCCTGCAGGAATCGTATGTCATGTGCCGCAAGTGTCAGGTATATCCGTTATGCATGGATTGCAGCGAACATGATGCGTTTGAGTGCGAATTCTTTGCCAGCGGCGCGGGCAGTCGCATTAGCAAGGATTTGCTGGTTAAGAATTATGGCATCTGTGCGCTGTTGAAGCTGCTCCTGCTGCTGGAGCAGCCGGACCAGCGTGCGCTGTGCCAGACGCTGTTGGACACGCCAGTCAAATTGGAGGACTATCGCAATGAGGATGGCCTCTGGCAAGAGCGTGACGAGCAGGTGGTGCGTCCCTTAATGTCCAGTGGCCTGGTCCAGGCATTTCCCGACCAGCAACTGACTGCGGAAGTGCTGCACGCCCATTGCATACGCATCGACAACAGCGCTTATGAGGTGACCGCTCGAGACGGGGACACACTAAAGGGCGTTTATGTGCGCGGCGCCAGTTTGCCGCATAGCTGTGTGCCCAACACGGTGGTGGCTCTCGACGAGCAGTTCAACATGAAGCTATATGCTGCAGTGCCTCTAGAGAGTGGCGACATCATTTACACATCCTACACGAATCCATTGATGGGCACCAGCCAGCGTCAGCATCAGCTGCGTCTGAGTCGGCACAAGGAATGCGCTTGTACGCGTTGCCTGGATGCCACCGAGCTGAACACACACATGAGCAGCATGAAGTGCAGAGGCTGCCCCGATGGCTATGCCGTTTGCCAGCTGAGCGGCAGCGGCGATTGGCGCTGCCTTAATGCGAGCTGTGGCGCTGTCATTCCAGCCACCGAGGTGCACGAGCTGCTGGCCGAGGTGGGCAGCGCCCTGGTCGAGGCCAGGGGCGAGCTAAGCGCCTATGAGACTCTACTCGACCAGCACAAGCAGCTTCTACATCCCAACCACTTTCTGTTGCTGGACATTAAGCAGAATATTGCCAGCATCTTGCGTGCGGCATCTCTAATGAATTCCTTAAATGATCCTTGCAAGAAACTGTTGGCACGCCGCGTGGAGCTCTGTGGCGATCTGTTGCCCGTTTGTCGTGCTGTCGTGCCCGGTCTCTCCAAGCTTTATGCCATAGCGCTCTTCGAGTATCTGCTGGCCTTTGTGGAGCTAACCGAACTGCAATTTGCCGAGGGCGATGTTAACAAAAAGGAGTATGTGGTAAGTGGGCCAAAATCTACTCATATGGAATCTGTTTAAATCATACCGAATCCTCTCATTTTCAATAGGCGCAGCTTACACGTGCACGCTCGGTGGCCAAGGAAGCGTTGGACTTGCTACAGTTTGAGCCGGAAAATTCGGCGGAGGGTTTTTTAACCGACCGTATTGGCGTGGAGCTGGAACGCATTGAATCCGATTTGATGAAATATGGAAAACTTTAACGCGAAACCGGAATTTATTTGTGTAATACAACTATAGTGAGAGTCCGTCGCACGGACAGCTCCTTTGAGCGGACATGTCGTTTAGGCGAACCATTTTTGTGTACTCCATACTTTTTCAAGAGAAGCTTTACAGAAAGAACAATTCTCTATTCTCTATTTTTTGCTTAACCAAAAAAGAAATATTTTCAATCACAAATATTTATCCATCATGGTTTATGTATAAATTTTGGGTAGCAAGAATATAAACAATGTTAAATAAAAAATGTAAAGAAATGCTTTAATATTTTTTGCTGTAAGTTTACGTTGCCTTAAATTTAACAACTTTTTTATGCGAAAGCTCTTAAAACCATACGTAAAAAATTCTTTTTTATAGAAAACATTTTTAGTTTACAAATTTACAAATTACTTTAAGAAAGCGAACCAATTGTCGACGGAGTTTTAAGGAATTTATAGGGCGCACAATTGAATTCACGCCGAAATATAAATGATTTGGCATTCGAGTTTCTAGTGCACTGTCCCTGAACGTGCCCAGAGCAGGTTCAACAGCCAGCGGCAAAACAAAAACAAAAGAGCTGCGGCAAATGGACCGAGTAATCACTCGATAGAGTAGAATAAATAAAGAATTGCTTTCAAATATAAATAAATCTAAAATGAACTCGTATCGTTCGAGACAATATCGGGCCTCAGTATACGAGTGCTAATTGGCGACAGCAGATGCAATTCTTGGCCCAAAGCAACAGAAGCAAGGAAAACCTTTAGAATGGCCGCTGTAACGGAAGACTTTGCCAAGAAATGTGAAGTGAAGCAGAACGAAACGCTGGGCAGGTGGGTGCACCCACTCAAAGGAGTTGCCATTGATTAACCATTTATGCGGTAGATATGTGGTCGCCGCCACCAATATTAAGGCCGGGGAAACGGTGCTGCTGGAGCAGCCTGTGCTGCTGCTGGCCAACAATGGGGATAGGCGTTGCTGCAACTGTCACCAGCTGACGTCTTCATTTTGCGGGTAGGTACATGGCTTCCATGATCATAAACAGCTGCTCAATAACTTAAATCTGTTGCTGCTCGGGGAGTTGCCAGCAAGTGCCGTCTAATGCCACTGTGCGCGGACTGTGTGGAGCACCATGGGCCGGACTGTCGGCGTCTGGCTGAGCTGCAGCTGCAGGAGCAGCAGGTGGAACAGCTGCAGGCGCACACAGAAGTCTGCAGTGCACTGAAGTATTTGCTGCTGCGGGAGCATGCCGAGAAGAGGTCACACTATGAGCAACTGCTGCAGTTGGAGGCACATCTAGCCCGGCGACGCGACACAGACATCTGGCGCAGCTATCGGGCGGAGGTGATTGAGCCGCTGCAGGCCTCCGGGCTGCTGCTGCAGTTGCGCAATGGCGCGGAGATCGACGAGGAGCTGTTGCAGCGTCTGCTGGCCATTGCGGATATTAATGGCTTTGAGATCCGTGCTCCGGAGTCGGGTGGTGCCATGCGTGGTGTTTACATGACTGCCGCACTCTTTGCCCATAGTTGCCTGCCCAATCTGGTGACGGCAGTCGATGAGCAGCGACGCATCAAGCTCTATGCGAACCGTATAATAGCCGCTGGCGAAATTTTGTACAACTGTTACACGGACATCCTGCTGGGCACCGATGAGCGGCGTCGCATTCTCAAAACGGGCAAATGCTTTGATTGTCAGTGTGCCCGCTGCACGGATCCCACCGAACTGGGCACGCATATGAGTAGCTTTGTGTGTTCCCACTGTACTGGCGGTTATATAGTGCGACAGCCGGAGTCTGGCCTGTGGCAATGTCTGCTCAATGCCGAGCATACGCTGAAGCCCGAGTTTGTGGCCAATGTGCTGGAGCGCGCCAAGGAGGAGGTTTTCCATGCACGCGAAGATATTTATCGGCTGGAGCTGTTGCTGGCCAAGCTGGGGCGTCTGTTGCATGGCAATCACTATGTTATGCTCGATCTTAAGCAAAATATAGCGTCCATATTGCGACAAATCCTGCAGAACATGGCACATCGACCCAATCGTAAGGTCTACGAGCGAAAGATACGTTTGTGCCAGGAGATATTGCTGGTCTTGAAGGTTGTGGCGCCGGGCATATCCAGGCTAAAGGCGATTGCCTTGTATGAGCTGGCCAATACTCAAGCGGAGCTCGGACGGAAATTGTACAGTGAACAGGAACATGACGCTGCGGATTTACTGGTAAGTAACATATTACACTTTCTTTTTCAATATAATGTTATAAATTATTAAATAAAACAGGCCGAGCTGCAGCAAACTGAGATAATGACGCGAGAATCACTACGAATGCTGCTTTATGAACCTATTTCCACACCGGAAGGTCAACTGGCACGTAATATGCTTAGAGAATTGAAGGAGCTGCAAAATGATATGAAAATGCTACAGCAGCCAAACGACGATGTTGTTATTTAAAAAAAACCTGTTTTCCAATTATTCTTTTGAATTAAACAAATTGTTTTATTTCAAAATATTGCAATTCGAATGGCACTTCCGTTGGCGCAAAAATCGATTATTTGCTACTTAGTTAGTGTTATCGAAACTCATCAGTGGCGGTTATCGATAATTTTAAGTGTTGCTAATGTAAAAAGTTTATTTAGTGTTTAGAGCTTTCCTTTTGTTTAATTATATTACGCATATTAAGAGAAAGCTTTACATTGCTTTTAGTGCAATTGTTTTCGAACATATGAGGAAGATAAAATTAGCGAATGGCATGGCGACGGCGCTTTTGTCAAAAGAACAGCTGATTGACCAAAATAAAACAGGCGATTGATAAAAGTGGAGACAATGCAACGGACGGTGGCTGGAAATCAAGCAACCCTAAGCTCAAAATAGGGTGACAATAGAAAAAAAAAACAAAGGTGGGCAGTGCACAAAAGCTGCAAGCGACGCCGACGCAGCCCGCTGTTCATTTACAGTTTGAGTGCTTTTGACGCGGTCTACTCGGCAATCTCGGTTAGTTTCTCAGTTTTGCTTCAGTTGCCCAAAACTCGCTTCGCTTAGCTTTCAATAAACTAAAAAGTTAACACGACATGCATATGTTGAATGTAGCCAAACGCTAAGCATGCCACAGAATTATAAAAAATTGTGAAATTCATAATTGCTGCGCATTGTTGTCTACTTGCAAAATAGTAAATCCCCACTGCCAACGACGTCATCGGCATGGCTTTGGCCAGCGCAGCGGGCGCTCTGCTCAAACCACAAACGCCGCTCCAGCAGCTGCTCGAGGACATTAACTTTCAGCGCACCAAGGAGATGCGACAGCTGCTCAAAGATGGTAAATAAAACTACTGAGGCAAAGTTTTCAATTTTTAAGAAAATTTGTCTACATTTGCACATTATCGATTTGTCAAGCGCCCATCCGGCAACTCCTTCCACCCTTGTACATTACACGCACACACACACAGCTGTTGTGTGCGTGTGTGTGTGTGTGTGTGTATGCGCTCAGATTTTGCCCCACTTTAGCGCACTTATTTGCGTATATATATAAAGGCTTGCTGTATGCATCCATATTAAGCTGTTTGTATTAGTGATCCCAAAGAGCTTTTTATCCGCTTTCTGTTTTGTTTTTGTTTACTCTTAAAGGTTCTTGTCAGCAGTTATCTGTTTTGTGTAGGTGTGCTACAAATAAAAATCCTGCCTAGTGGTCGGGCTTCACTGATATAAATAAAATTGCAGTATTGTGTAAATATATGTACATATATGTAAATATATCTGTGCGCTGATATCGACTAAATTCCCTGATAGGAGTCTGAAGTCTAACCGTTTTAAAAAATATTATGTAATGTTCCTTGCATTATTTTAAAGATATATATACATGGATTTTTTCAAGAGAAATCTAAGCTGGGTTCTATTGTTTTCATTTAAAGTATATTGGATACTTTAAATATTCTATTACAAGCTCTTTGAACTCGTATATTTTCCAACAAAGCATAATTTGGCTAAATGAATATGAATACATATTTGGTTCGCCCGCTCCTTATTAATTATTCCTTTGCAGATGGTGGCTTTGTGGTGCTGCAGGGCACCACCTACTGGACGGATTTGTTTGTGCGTCATTTTCTATTCCAAACGGAGCCCGTGCACAGCATCGACTCTGATGATTTGCTTTTCTTTGTGCGCAAAAAGCACGTGAAGAGCTCGTCGCGCCACATGCCAAAATATGAGGTAAGTGCAAGTGAATCCAAATGGCGAAAGCAGGTTCACCATATTGTTTTTCCTTTGCAGACTGAAGTTGAAGTGTTTCGCAAGGATTCACGCAAGTTGCCCATTGGGGATCCGGATGTGGACTGGGAAGAGACCGTCTACTTAAACATGGTCATACATCAGTTCGACTACACGTTAACATTGGCCATATGCACAAGAACCTCGCCCAAAGAGCTGCAGGTGCTGCGGCGACACTCACAGCGCGTCTATGCCAGTCCCAGTCGCCGAAAGATGGACACCAAGGGCGAGGGTGAGGAGATTACTTACCCACACATATGCTTTATGGTGGACAATTTCGATGAGGTGTTCAGCGATATATTGGTGCGTGATGGCGAAATGGTGTGCGTGGAACTGGTGGCCAATGACAAAGATGGCGCCGTTCAGGGCGTTATTTTTCTCGGCTCCATACGCTACGATGCGCTAAAGAAGGTGTACGATGCCAGGGTGAGTGATAAATTGTGCTTTTATGTTTGCTTGCCCATAATTCCATATTGCTATTTTGCTTGCAGCAATCTAGTCTGAGCTCTAAGGTGGCGCAGCGCATGTCTTTTGGCCTGTTTAGCAGCGGCGCTGGCGTACAGACACGCTGCGAATTTGTGCGCATGAAGGGACCACAGGGCAAAGGTCATGCCGAGATGGCAGTGACCAAACCCAAAGGCTCTGGCGTTGAAACGCCAACCAGCGAGCCGGGCTTTTGTGCGACAGACATGTGGGACGAATGGGAAGAGGAGAACGATGATTATTGCACGTACCGTCACCAGCGCCGCCTCAGCGATCCCAGCGCCAATCTCAATAATTTCTCACGCTACGGCTGGCGCACCAAGAACACCAACCAGGACATGGTTAGCAGCGGCACCAGCGCCAGTGCCGGCGCCAAAGCGCGCTCCGAAAACGAAGGCCTCGACACGCTGGCCAACGAAGTATCCGAAATCGAGGCGGGTGATTTGCGGGACGGTAAGCAACGTTTTTCTTGCTCTATTCTTTTGTATGTCTATTCGAAATGGTTTCACAGACATATCGTATTTACTTTTTAGTTATGTTTTGTTTTGCATGTACTCTAGCTCAGTTGTAAAATATTTAACTAATGATTCCATTCTGAATAACGTAAATGTAGTTAATTGCGACTATTTAGAATTTTTCTTTATTTTGTTGCGCTTTTTCTGCCTGCTTTGCTCTGCTTTCCTAACTTTTGTTTGTGTTTCCTTGTAAACATGTTGTGGTTCCTAAGATTTTCCTTAAATTAACAAATTTCAAATTCAAATTAACCAGCAATAATGTGTGTATATATATTCAAGGACCAACGTATATATATATATATATCTAAAATATATACTTGACTTTGCCGAGAAAGCAGGACAACTATAAACAACAACAGAATATCAAATTATTTGATTAAAACTTCAGTTTGCTTTTCTTTTAAGTATTCTAAATTAAGTGTTAAAAAAAATGGGCAATACATTTAGGATCGAATTACTATAATATTAGAGCACATTTGGAGTCAAAACTAATGAGAAGCAATTCGTTTTTATTACGTTTTTAAAGGTAATTTATACAATAATTCAAAACGAAAGATCAATTTTTATAATGTCAGGCCTTAGTTTAAATTGTTCAATCTTGAGGACACCCTGGCAGCTGGTAGGGGTGTTCACTATTGTAGCTATTCATAAAATACAGCCTATTTATTCATTGCGGCTTTAATGCGAGCTTTACGCTCGGTTTTTGCTCTTGAATGAACCCGTTCGCCATATTTCACATAACACCACCTGCTCCTCGACGCCGGAACCTTCCCACCCCATCCCGACTACCACTTCTAGTGCCCTCGCCTATTAGCGCTATCCTGGTTTTGTTTATTTGCTTATTTTAATTTGTTGGCAAACAGTTTTTATTTTATAATTGCTTGAAGACCGAGTTACACTCGGTTGTTGTATGTGTCGTTGTATATGCTTTATAAAAAAATGCAACAAACCGATCTATATCTACTTGTAGATCAGCAACGTCCTGCTTTCTCGGCCTCCGCAGCAAAACTGCATCCAAATCCAAATTGTGAAACGCTCAAATTAGCAGCTGGCGAGCCAGACCAAACGCCACTTGCCACGAACTCTGACCCCGTTGTGACTCAAGCCGGCGAGTCCACGGCCAGTGCTGTCACAGCCGTCACACCGCCACCGCTCAGTGCGGCCGTTGAGGTGACGGTGGGCAGTGCCGGCTCCGGCGACGATGTGGGCAACAGCAGCACGGGCTGCAATTGCTTTGGTGGCGGCAAGAAGTGCAAGAAACGCTGGACATCATCCGCGAACAGTGCCAACGACACACCCGAAATGTCAGAGATATACTGTCCCAGTTGCGAGGATGCGGCCAACGAGACGCCTGCCTGCCTCAGCAAAATGCCGGACAAGCGGCAGACCAGGCTCAAGCCCAAGCCGCCCAGCATATTGTGCGTGGAAAGCGAGCTGGTGGTCGCCAAGCGGGGCAGCCTGCGGCTCAGCGATGGCAAACGCAAGGGCAACAACATAACACGCAGCGTATCCTTGAGCGCCGCAGATCGGCGAACGAGTGTGCCAATGCCCAGAAAGGTTACGCCAACGCGTGTGCGCCTGGTCAAAACCAAGGAGCTGGACAAGGGCAAGGATAAGGATAAGGAGAATGATAAGAAATCATCGAATCAGAAAACTAATAGTGCCAGCAATTTGCTGGCCAAGATGTCGCCCAAAAGGCTGCGCAATGCCAAGGCCAGTGACAAGGAGAAGGAGAAGAGTAAGGACAAGGATAAATCCAAAATCTCTGTCAAGTCCAAAACTGGCAGCAGCAACAATAACCATGTCAAGGCTACAACAGCTCCATCCAAAACGGAGGAGTATGAAATTGCGGATGATGCCACCTCCCTAAATGGCGACTCCTTGGATGCCGGCACATGTGCAGCTGCTGGCTCCGCCAAAATAGCCATACTCAGCGAAAGCGACAGCAAGCTGATGATTAGCGTGCGCGGTCGCGAAGAGCTGCCCGTGGTGGAGGAGCAAGCGCCGACGCCATCACCATCGCCGCCCGTTATGGCGCCGGCGCAACATTTTGTAAAGTGTTTACGTGTACCTGTGAAATCAGAGAGCCATCCATTGCAGCTGTCATCGGACAGCGCAAACAACGATAATATTGTGGAGCCGGAGTCGGAGCCGGAGCCGGAGCTGGAACAGCAGCCCCTGCTCAATGGCGAGGCGGATGCGGCTAATGGCAACCAAACGGCAGCCAGCAGCGCCACATTGCCTCGCACCGCCAAGCAATCCTACTACAACAAGGTGCTGCATCTCGTGCCCAAGCGTCGCACACCGGACGGCACCAATATCTACTACTGGTGCGATCTTCCCAAGAAGGCGCTCAAAGGTTATCTAAAATCCCATACAAATTTGATATTCCTAACCCAATCTGCATGTTTCTTCGTACTTGAATCATGCTGCGATTTCAATCTTAACTAATTTATTTTGTTATTTTTCTGCTTGCAGAACTGGACGATGGCGCTTATAATCCACTGTGGACCAGTCGTGGCTTTACGCAATCCTTTCACTTCTGGAAGGAGAATCGACGACAACAGTCTACGCCGCTCAACGCATTCCTTACCTATGTCACTCTGCCCTGGTGGAGCATTGCCAAGGGTAACTACCTAATAATATTAAACTATTGATTCCGACTTGTCAAATAGTAACTGAACTATTTGTTTCCCTATGCAGATCTTTTGGATCATCGGGAGACGCCCATACTGACTTTTTAGTATTAGACTCGCTCGATGCTTGTGATTTGCTGCTAATCTATGCTTTAAAGTATTATCTCCAATTTATTAGTTCTCAACGTCTGGCAAATCATGTGATCTGTTTTACGTAAATTAAACAAATATTTATATATATATATATCTCAGGTGGCAGCCAATCTATGGCTGCTCCATTCATTATAATTTACTTTTGGTTCACCTTGACCAATGCCAACGCCCGCAGCTGAGTTGAGTTTCCTAAGCTATGCCACTTTCTGTTTGACTAGGGCATTATTAGATATACTAATTATATATGCGATATACTTATGTATGTGTGTGTCTGTAGCATGTTTGTATGTAAATGCAGCGCTGAGCCAACCTACAAATTTATAAACTACTTATATAGATATTATAAATATATACAAACACCTACTAAAACGCTGCATTTTGAGGTTATATTAAAGAATTGTTACCAAAAATAAAAACGATATGTATGTAATAATGCGATTTGTAAATTATATGGCATATATTTATATGTATATATTTATTAGAAAAGAGCGCAACTGCGAAACGAAATAAAGAATTTGCGTATAATAAGTAGAGAAATAATTTTTATTGCAATTGCTATTGTTGAATGAGAACGAAAATTCGAGAAAATCAGATGATAGTAACAAAAGGCAATCTAAAGTTCAAGAGGTCTGTAACAATATTTTAATTCTTGTGAAAATTATTTTAAAATGGTCCCGAAATCCAAATTGGAATATATATTTTTACTCGTTCTCTACAAGTTTTTTTTTGAGTGGAAATTGGTAGAATTTCTTATAATTATGCATTTTATTTGGAGCAGGTCAAGCGAAGCTCGAAAAGTGTTAGCTGAATTTTATTTTTTATGCCTAAGACTTATCAAAATATAATATATTTATTTATATTAAATTTATTGGTTCAGCTTTAATAGCATATCTCAATTTGAAAATGAGGAAAAATGGCAGCTTTCTCTTATCCAAGCAGATGCCGTGGAAACTGTTTAATCTCAAGAAGCAAAGTGCACATGCAAATTCATATGCTACTTATATAGTACATACAATCAGAATATATAAAATACATTGGCTCGATGATAACTGAAAGTGCTCGAAATGGGATTCAGTCAGTTTGTGTGCATTGTCGGAAACGGTCGCGTATTTATTTATTCGCTCTGCTGGCGTACAAAAAAGGAAAAAACAAAAGATTATAATGTGGCACTCATTGCCAGCGCTTGTCGGCATCGCTGTAGTCGTCTGTCTTGCGGCAGGCGCAATTAGTCCAGCGGCTGGCTGCCCTCGGACGCCCACGCATCTGCCCCACGGCCGACGCACACGCGGCGACAATGGATACAAATTAATTGTAGCCGATGGACCCAACGGCTATGTGCCCGGCAAGGCATACAACTGTAAGTCTTAGGTGGTTCTTGAGTAAAAAAAAAGATAGAAAGACCGAAATAAAAAGGTCTTGTAATCAGTGCTCGGGTCACGGCCTCGTGACCCCTAAAAACGCACAAGATAAGAAATCACAGCATTCAACACATGTGTGTGTAAATTGAAACCGTGTGGAAACACACATGGCGGGAGGTTGGGCCTTAAACACATCTGTTATCATGCCTTTCCAATGTAGTTCAAACAATTTCAGTTTATATTGTATTTATGAAAAATACTTTTCAATGAACATAGTAAATGGTTTAAACTGCAGCTTTTAGAATACAAATAACAGTAAGACTTTATTAAACGATAAACAATAAATGATAAAAAGCATTTCTTAAAAGAGTCTAATAGTCTTTGTGTGCTTTGGCATTTAGCAAGTACACAGTTTCGTAAGACAAAGTTTAATAACCTTTAACTTAAGTTTTATCTACAGTTTGGCATAGATATAACAAGTAAATTCTATACGTTACATGGCACAAGAGAACTCCTGTTCCTTGGCTTTGATCCTTAAAAAAATTAAACAAAATGGAACTTAAGTTTTATCTATAGTTTAGCATAGATACAAAAAGTTAAGATTATGTTTAGTTTAATACAAGGAAATTCTGATATTCCTTAGACTTGACATCTAATACATATTACTTTTTATGTATAACAATGAAATCTCTGATCTCGTTTTTTAATTTTTACAGAATTGAATAGATTTGAGCTTAGTTTAGCTAAGATAGTATTCAATTGAAAAGCTATGTTTTTTGGCACAACGAAACTTATACGTTTCTTGGCTTTGACATCGTTGACGGATACGATATCTAAGCTGACTCCTTATACAATGTATTACTAAAATGTACTCTATGCTTGTAAATGTGAAAAAATATTAAACTAAGGTTAAGGTTAATCTATAAAGAAACTTAAAAGCTACAGGTAATATGGCACAACGCTATTGTTCCTGTCCATGCGTGGAGCGCAGATGATTAATTAGGCAACCTTGCTTCTTAAAGACGCGCTTGCAATGGGGACAGATGGATCGATACAGATGTATTATACGATGCTTCTCGTAGCGCGACTTGTTGCTGCTGCTCTCCTCGCACCACTCACAGTAATAAGCACAAGAATTGATCTTGGGCATAAAAGCGAACAGCTTCATATAATGTTCGATTGTAGACGTTAGAGTGATCTTTTTGAAGAACTTCAGATCAATTTGCTGTGCATGCCAGGCATTGATTAAATTTAAAATGCGCTTCAGTTCGCAGACATTTAAATTGATCTTAAATTCGGCATTGACCTCTGCTGTGAACATGAGCAACTCCTTTACTATATTTTGTGCCTGTTGTTTATTAAATCTCGTAGCAGTGTGTTTTATTTTCGTTGTATATTTTCGCAGCATTATGACAAATTTAGCTGCCCTTGCACGTAATGCATCGACAAATTCAATTGTTTTTAGTTCCTCATAATTCGCATCCTTTATAATGGACAGCTGTAAACGAATAAGGGCAAGCATTTAAAGACAACAATTACGTTTATGCATATGCAAGCACTTACCCCAACTGCTCTAAGCAAATATAAATCATTGCGCAGCTCTTTGGGTTCTGAATTTGTTTTAATTTCAGTTGCCTTCTGTTGCGCCAGTGCCTGCTTCTGTTCATGTTCGCTCAACTCACCGCCACTGCGCTCCAGCTCGCCAGGCTCAGCCAATTGCAGCAAACTATCTGCATTGGTTAAGGTTTTCAGGTCGCGCTACAGAAAAATAAATGCTAAAATTGTATGCTGCAAAATAAGCGTAGCTCAGGGCTTACCTGTAGAAACTCAACTACGCTGTCGGATAGGTTGAAGCCTAGCGAGCCACTGTCCGACGTACTGTGCTCCGTTTTTGTTCGTTTTGCCTCGGCTGCAACTTTTGAAGAATCCGTAATATGCATTGCAGCTTGCTTTCGTTTGTTTGCGTTTCCTTCCGGCTTAGGTGGTTCCCTTTTAATTGTCTGTAGTCGACTGCTTTGTGTGCTGGGCACTGGATATGAGGGTCGCCTGATTGGCATTTCAGACGAAATTGTCGTGCTTCTATCGACTGCGACTGAAGATCTTCGCTTAACAGCCGTTTTCCTGGCCTGATTGTTGTTTTGGGCCTGTGAAGATCCAAGCATTGGTACCTTCTGTTGTGTTTGTGGGTTTTTTTTTGTTAACTGACTGTTGTGCACATTATTAATATTAAGCTTAGGCAATATCTCGATTTTGTTTATTACAATAGGATCTGATCTGCTAGCCCTTGGCTTTTCCGAGTTCAGGTTACCAGGCATCTTGGTTGTATGTTTAGCCAAGTCAGCTGCATTTGGTTTTGTTTCTGCTAAACTCTTTCCCTTTCTATCATTCAGTATAATTAAAAATTTTCTCTCATCGGCCTTAATCTCCTCTACTAAAGATTGGACTGATTGGGTTGGATTGGAATTCAGTCGAGACTTTAGATTAATTAGAGCTGGGTCTTTGATTAGCTCCACAGACTTTTTCGCTGTGCCGCTACTTGAGGTTTTTATTAAGGCTTTTGAAGGTAGTTGCGCAACTACAGAGACATTCTCCTTGTCTTGCTTTAGCGAAGACGTATTTGGTTCAGGTTGTGTTTGTACCTTAATATTTTTTGTGTCTCTTACTATAGCCTTTTTATCGTCGGCTTTAATCGTACTTACTAAAGCACGGTTTGGATTGGACTTTGGATTAATTAAAGCCGCGTCCTTTGCAATAGGTCCTCTAAACTCTGACACGGTTAACACGATTTCAACAGTGCTGCTGGCTGTGTTATTTTTAAGTAATTTTGAATTATCTCCGCCTTGCATATTTAATTTAGGTCCTGTATTTAGTAAATCCTCAATTTTCGCGGGTGATAACTTACACTCGTCCTTAGCTAAGGGCTCTATTGATGGCATTTGCTTTTGCTGTGGCATATTTTTGATTTTTAAAAGATCCTCAATAAGTGTTTCCATATTGGCTAGCTTGAGCGGCACGTACTGCAACTTACGCGAATCGTTTTCCAGCGAACGCACTATGCGCTTTTTGATATTATTCAAGCGCTGCTGTTGCTGGCGCTTGCGTACGGAGCGCGCAATCGCATAGCTCTTGTAATTACAAGTGGACTTGGACTTGGCGGATTTTAGTTTGGTAGTTTCCAAGTTGGAGCGTCGGGCACTGCTCGTGTTGTGCTCTTCGAGCTGCGTGTCCGTGTTGTTTACTTTGCAGTCTCTGGTTTTAGGAATTGTGGATTCCACTGGAGTCTGTTTGTTCTTCAAATGCTCAGCCTTGGAATGTTCTTTGTGCTGCTCATCTATATCTGGCAAGGTAGCAGTTTGCACTTCCGTTTCATCTTTCGCCTGTGGCTGTGCTTTGTCAGGAACTATTGTATCCTTAGTCGATGGATCAGACTCTGCCAACAAGGCCTCCACTTCGGCTAGTATGTCCCTAGTTTCAGCATCCGCCGGCAACGGTATACATTTGTCTACTGCAGTAAGATACTTATAACTAGGGAGTAATAATGAAGGCGTCATTGGACTCACCTTCTGCCCGCCACTGCAGCACAGTTTCATTCTTGTTTATGGTTTTGGTTCTTCTGTAGTCCAATTCGGACAATGCCTTACAAATATTCTGATTTATTGGTTCGGTTGCCATGTCGCAGCTGTTGCCACGCCCCAAGCAGGTAGCTTCAGCTGCTGCTGTAGCATCAGCTGGCAGCCCGGAATCGCTGCTATGGCTGCTGAGATTCGCCTGTGTTTGCGCCTCTTCCTGTGCCATCAGCTCCTCTACGGTGTATACATTGTGCGGCTTGGTGAAGCCCAGCCTATTGTTGTGCATCCATTGCAAATGATGCAGAAATTCCGACAGATTTGTGTAAATGTCGCAACAGAAATGACAAAATATGCCAATCATATTATCCTTGGTTGACACGATCACATCGCCGCACTTTTCGAAGTTAACACAATCATCCGATAGCAAATTAAGGAAAGAACTCATTTTTATAAAACGCTGTTTATGTCAAAATTTAATTCAAAGCAGCAACTGAAAAACAAACGAACGAAAACGCGGGACGCTCTACGACCGAGCACGAATGGCGCTGTGTTTAGCCATCGATAACATACATTGTTGTTATCGAGCACGAATGGCGCTGTGTTTAGCCATCGATAACAGGCGCGGTTGTAATCGAAACTCAAATGCATAATCGATGGTTTTTGTTTAAAGTATCGAGTAGTAGAGTGAAAAGACATTTGAATTTGAACGGACAATCATTTTGCTTTATTTTAAGTGCTGTTGCTTGGCTCGCGCACTCACACAAAAATCCAGCACTTTACGCATTTCACTATCGCTGCTGGCACCAGACGGTCTGGTCGACCCCAGGTGGATAGTCCACGTCGTGTTGGTCGCTTCCAGCTCTTCAGCGATTCACTCACCAAATTCAACGATCGCTGCGTAAACACCGTGTCCGAGGCAGATGATTTACCCAAGACTGAGGTACAGGTCATGTGGGTGGCACCCGAGGCCGGTTCGGGCTGTGTCTCGCTTTCCGCCATGGTATACGAGGGCCCGCGCGCCTGGTTTGCGGATGACGGCCAGCTCACCCAGGTTATATGTGAGCACAAACCAACCGCAGCAGCCACGCAGAAGGAGTGCTGCGCCTGTGATGAGGCCAAGTACAGCGTAAGTCCCAGCCAGCTTATATGGAATTGTTTACTAAATGCATATGCAGTTTGTTTTCGAGGGCATCTGGTCGAATGAGACACATCCCAAGGATTACCCCTTTGCCATTTGGCTGACGCATTTCTCGGATGTGATTGGCGCTTCGCACGAAGCTAACTTTTCCTTCTGGGGCGAACATCATATTGCCACCGATGGCTTCCGCTCGCTAGCCGAATGGGGCTCGCCCACGGCGTTGGAGACTGAACTGCGTGCGCAGGGCCCAAAATTGCGCACGCTCGTTAAAGCTGCTGGCCTTTGGTATCCAAATGTCAACCAGAACACTTCATCCAAATTCCGTGTTGATCGTAAACATCCCAAGATTTCATTGGTTTCCATGTTTGGCCCGTCACCAGACTGGGTGGTTGGCATTAGTGGGGTTGATCTATGTACGGCCGACTGTAGTTGGAAGGAATCCATGGACTTTGATCTATATCCATGGGATGCCGGCACTGACAGCGGCATCACGTATATGGTGGGAAGCTGTTGCCATAGATATGCTGATCTTCAACTAATTTCTTGTTTGTTTAGTCCCCAAATTCAGAGACGCAGCCACGCGAACGCATGTATAAGATTACCACCATGTATCCGGAAGATCCACGTGCGCCGTTCTACAACCCGCAGAGTCAGCAGATGACACCGCTGGCCAAACTGTATTTGCGTCGCGAGAAGATTATTTCACGCAATTGTGACGATGACTTTTTGCAAGCTCTACAACTGGAGGTATCCGATGATGCAGAGGAGCAGGATACGCGCGGTAAGCTAGTTCCTTATTTTGTAATCATCATCCTAGTCAAATGTGCATCTTCCGCCACAGCCGAATGTCGCGTCAGCAATTACAACGCCTGGAGTCCCTGCTCAGTCAGTTGCGGCAAGGGCATACGCATGCGCAGCCGTCAGTATCTAAATCCCCAGCAGGCGCAGCAGGGCCAATGCACACGCCAGCTGGTGTCCAAGGAGATGTGTGTGGCGGCTGTGCCCGAGTGTGCCAATGGCTCGGCTGGCCAAGATCGTGACGAGGATGAGGGCGAAAATTTGGCCAACTCGCAATCGCTTGTCAGCGATAACGGCGAAGGAGCCGGCCTCTGCAAGACCTCACCCTGGAGCGTCTGGTCGGAGTGCTCTGCTAGCTGCGGTATAGGCATCACCATGCGCACGCGCACATTTGTTAGCCCGCTGGGCCGCAAACGCTGTCCGCACATTACAATTGTGGAGAAGAACAAGTGCATGCGACCGGATTGCACTTATGAGCAGGTGGAGCTGCCCGATCCTGATTGCCCCACCACACAGTGGAGTGACTGGAGTCCGTGTTCCGGCACATGCGGACACGGTAGCTCAATACGTAAACGTTTGCTGGTGCTGGAGGATGGACCCATTAAGGACAACTGCACAACGCGCATGGAGTTGCATCAGCAACGGGAGTGCCAACACGCTCTAGACTGTAGCATCAATATGGAACTGGCCAAGGATATTTGCGTGCAGGAGCCAGACAGTGGGCCCTGCCGCGGCAGCTATCAGCGCTATGCCTACAATGCCCAGGCCAATCGCTGTGAATCCTTTATCTACGGTGGCTGTCGCGGCAATCGCAACAACTTCCTCACGGAGAGCGACTGCCTGCACACCTGCAACAAGATAAGCGCCGAGGGCACTGCAAATGCATATTCTCGTGGGGAGATCAACTTGCCCAAGGCGTGCGTCATGTCCGAGTGGTCGAACTGGTCGCCCTGCAGCGTTACCTGCGGCAATGGCTACTCCGAGGGCCGACGCTATGTGGTTAGCGAGCCACAGCGTGGCGGCCAGCCGTGTCCCAAGCGTCTTGTCAAGCAACGCTCATGCACCATGCCAGCCTGCTAAGCATTCTGCTGGGCACCATTAACTTTGCCTTTTCTATTACATTTTATAACTATTTCGAATAAAGTGAACAGCGCTTTTAATAGACTCGTTATAGACTCTTTTATGGTTTAATTGTTTTTCTTACTAATCACAACTTGACATAATTAAAAGCTCCACGTTCGTCATTTATATGTGCTTATACAACATTAACTATGCCAATGCAAAGACAATAAACACAGTGTTTATATTGTCTTTGACCAAAGGGTATACTCGACTCGTGAGAAGCTTGGCCTCTGATCTTGTCACTCAACCTACACACTATTCAAAATATGTATACATTTTTAATTTAATTTTACTTAAATATTTGAGTCAACTTTTTACGTAAATTTTGAGAAACTAACTTTACAAACTTTAGAAACTTAAAATTTAGTTTATTTTTACCAATTTTTTTAACTACTATAAATGGCATATTTAAATTCTAATTCAATTCAGCCATTGCTGAATATTGCTATGGACCCAAGTACATTTTTCTTTACCTCACTTCAAATTTCTAGATACTATTTTATTCAGGTTTTCCGCTCTTTCGTCTATATATCTATATATCTCCTCAGCTCCGGTGTTCACAACATTCTAGGCAAAAGATTTGTATGATATCAATAGTAAATCTTGAATTGCTTAAAAGGTATTTTCCGTGTCGACAATTGTGCATATTCTTATCCATTTGCAAGTTATATACGCATATTTACATTACTTTTCGCTTAGCCAAGCAATTATTGTTTCAATTGAATACTGCCAACCGGCTGTCGAATTCCAGCTGCAGAGGTCACTTTCACTGAGCACCGAAAGTGTTGCAGCCAAATATGTGTATGTTAAAGAGACGCTTTCCCGGCGACAAACGCAACCAGTTGGTCGTTGTTTAGTTTAGTTAGTGCTAGCAACTTGTCGAGTGCGTCTCGTAGAGCCATGGATAAGTGTCAGGTCGGGTTTCCCTATGACATATGCGATGTGGACGCTGCCACCAATGCTGAACTACTGGAGTACTTTACAGGTGGGTGGTGCTTCAAATTTCCTTTACTGGCGTTAACCTAATGCTCCCGAACGGTAGGTGAGCGCACGGGCTTTGTGCAAGTTGGACCCGAGGGTTATTTCTTTCCGCACAAGTACAAAGTCCAGGCGGAGCTTTATTACAACTTTGAGGCGCGACCCGATGACGTTTGGATAACAACTGTGCCGCGCTCGGGCACCACCTGGACACAAGAGCTAATCTGGTTGCTGGCCAATGGCTTAGATTTCGAGATGGCGCAGCAACGCCCTCTCACTGAACGTTTTCCCTTCCTGGAGTGAGTTTTGCATTGGAAACGTGTTGCAAATTTTGAATGTTTGTGTACTCCGCCGCCAGATTTCCCTTGTTTGTGCATGATGCTGTTAAAGCAGAGCTTCTGGCTGAGAACAGGCACTCTCCGGCTGCTATGGAGTTCATTGAGCACATTTCGCAGCCCGGCTATGAAACGCTGGGCGAGCTGCCGCGCGACCGGCGACGTTTTATAAAAACTCACTTTCCCTTCTCATTGATGCCGCCGAGTGTTCTGGAGAATAAATGCAAGGTAAGTGATTCACTTAATAAGAAGCAAAGTCATTTTCTTCATACCATTCCCTTTCAGATTATCTATGTGGCGCGCAATCCCAAAGATGTGGCCGTGTCTTACTATCATCTGAACCGTTTGTTTCGCACGCAAGGATACATTGGGGACTTTGAGCGCTACTGGCGCTATTTCCAGCAAGGATTAAGTATGCTAATACCATTTTCAATTCCTTGTATACATTTAATCCACTTGCAGATCCCTGGCTGCCTTATTACAGTCACGTGAAGGAGGCCAAACAGCATAGTCAACTGCCAAATGTGCTCTACCTTAACTATGAGGATATGCTGGTGGATTTGCCGGGAACTGTAATGAGCATAGGAAAGTTTTTAGATTGCGCGCCCGATGCTGTGGGATTGGAGAAATTACTCACGCATTTAAGCATTCAAAACTTTCGCGAAAATAAATCGGTTAACATGCATGAAATGGCAGCCGTTGGCATACTGAAGCAGGGCGAGGCCGGATTTGTGCGTAAAGGTGGCAAGGATATCACAGCCAAGCAGCATGATCAAAAAGAATTTGTAGATAATCCAAAACTGTTAAAGCTTGCAAACGATTGGATACAGCAAAATATTGAATTAAACGATATAAAATAAAGCGGTTAAATTGTTATCGATCGACTTCGATACTTTTCGCGCGTTGTTCCCCAAGGCTGGTATGCAGACCAAATGTAATAATTTACACGTTATTGCGATTTTGATCAATGAAATTGCATTGACATAAATAAATTTAATATTTTGACTAGATGTATATGCATAAGTACAGTGAGCCAAGAAATATGCTAGATTTTCGGACGCATTTTACAGGAAATGTATGTATTTGCCCACATGCAACGTGAACACCATACTAGCTTTTGCTTAAAACAGCTGTTGGGCTGGACGAAGAAAAGGGCGCAATGTTTTTAATTAGAAGATATTACAGCAGCGTCCAGCGCATCGCTCAAATAGCTAATGCTACCAAGCCGGGTGATACGCTCCAAATCCAGGTATAAAAACAAGCGTTATGCCAGGTAAAAGTCATTGTACATAAGCTTCACTTTAGGGCTGGATAAAAAATGTGCGACGGCTAAAGAACAACATATTCCTGGACATCAGTGATGGTTCCACGAGCGAAAAATTTCAACTGGTTGTGCCACGGAACCTGGATACACATCAACTGACACTGGGCAGCGTAGTCAGCGCCGTGGGTCGTGTCCAGTTGGCGCCCAATGGACACTACGAATTGCACGCTGATGAAGTGAAGGCACTGGGTAAGTACGTAGCTTATGTAATGCACCCGGCTGATATTTGTATATTCACAGCGGAGGGTCATGTGCAGAGCGGATATCCCTTCTCGCCCAAGCAGAAACATCCACCGGAGTATGTGCGGGAACATTTACATTTGCGCTCCCGCATCGACTACATTGCCGCCCAGATGCGCATCAGGCATAAGGCACAGAAGGCCATACACGACTACATGGACGCGCTGAATTTTGTGCAGATTAACACGCCCATCTTGACTACGAACGATTGTGAGGGTGCTGGCGAGGTTTGAAGCAAGCAATTCATAAATGGAATCTATGGTCTATTCACTTTATTTTCTCTTTTGTAGGTTTTTCGCGTGCAACCCGATTCGGAGCGGTTGCTTAAACAAATGGCGCGGCCCAATGTGCCCCCGGAGCAGAGTTATTTCGATCAGAAGGTATTTTTGAGCGTTTCCGGTCAACTGCATCTGGAGGCCATGTCCTATGGCCTGGGCAACACGTACACCTTTGCGCCTGCCTTTCGTGCAGAAAATTCAAAATCTCCGTTGCATTTAGCAGAGTTTTACATGTTCGAGGCGGAACTGGTGCATATCGAGCAGCTAGATACGCTGGCGGCATTCATAGAACGTATGCTCAAAGACATTACCAATCGCCTGCTCAACAGTAGTGCGTCCGATTTGCATTTTTGCCAGCAGAATGCCAATGCCAGCTCAGATTTGGCCTGGCTACAGGCGCCTTGGAAGATTCTTAGCTATGACGAGGCCATGGCGCTGGTTGTGGCTAACAGCGATAAGTTAAAGAGTGCTGTTAGCCCGGATGAGGGCTTTAGCAAGGAGCAGGAGCTATTTCTTGTGGCACACTGCGGTGCGCCCGTCTTTGTGCTAAATTGGCCCACGCAACAGAAACCTTTCTATATGAAGATCTCACGCAGCGATCCGCAACGTGTTCATGCTCTGGATTTGCTAATGCCCTCGGTGGGCGAGTTGTGCGGCGGCAGCCTGCGTGAGTGCGATGCTGAGCTTCTTGCTGCGCATCCACAATTGCCCAAGGATCTGGCCTGGTATGTGGATTTGCGAAAGTACGGCGGATTGCCTACCGGCGGTTTTGGCATGGGCTTTGAGCGTTATCTACAACTGCTGACGGGCGTCAAGAACATAAGGGATGTAATACCCTATCCACGTTATCCGCACAGCTGTAAAATGTAGCCGCAAAACTCTATTTTCTTTTTGTTTTGTATAAGTTGTTATTGAATTTACAAAACTCGAGCTACAAAAAAAGAATAATTAATTTGCAAGCGCGCTTGTTGGAGATTCCAATTTGGAAGCAGGGCACGCTACTTGGACTAGGCTGTCCCAGATTTTGTGTATGTCAACTGGTCAACTAAATAAACATCAGCATAGGGATATGCTGTTCTGTATCCGTTTTGAATTACAATTGTCCCAACATGGGCTTGCGTCCGGGCCATGCCTCCTTGGCATATTTCTTCTTTTGGGGACACATGGAGTCGCCCTCGCCACTTGTTTCATGTACATCATCCACAAAACGACGCACTACGAATGAAGAAAAGACAAATATATAAAATCCGGCTGGAATTCGACGATTTGTTGTACGGACCATTTGCATTGGCTATGGCCAGCTTTTGTGCTATGGATGAGCTAGCCACGAGCGGCTCCTCAAAAATGGGCGTTACATCTGGTGCCGGATTGGGCAACATTATGCCCAACTTGGAGCCTATGCCCAGCGGTGATATGGGTTCAAATTCACTGTTGCCCTTGTGTTCATAGCCGCTGGCTGGCAATCCCTGATACAAAGAATTGACGGGTGAGTGGGCAGCGGATTGTGGCGTAACTGCCATCTGATGCTGCTGATGTTGTTGTTGTTGTTGCTGCTGTTGTTGTTGTTGTTGTTGCTGCTGCTGCTGTTGTTTCATCTCGACTATGCTCTGCTGGAACATCTGATGGCTGGCGGCGAGTGCGCTAGCAACATGTGCATTGGCGGCGCTGCTGCCCGTGTGTAAGCCCATGTGATTAGTCTCGTACCGTGAACGCTTCGCTGGCACCACTGTTGTCTGCACCAGATTACGAAAACGGCCTACATTGGGATCGACGTCTTCGGGATTTATGATGATCTCCTCATCGTTGAATGTGACATTGCGTCGCTTGCGTCCCTGTTTTAATGCATTCTGTTTGCGCAGATTGTTATCGTCGGCAATGCCCAGCATGGAGATGCGACGATTGTGCGCCGTGTTATACTCCGTCAGATTCTGTAGAAAAGGACAATTGAGCTTGTATACTACTACACATTTTTGCAGTATTCACGCACATCTAATTCCGTTTGGCTCTCGGGCAGCCCCAGCAAAGCGCCGTCGCTGGTCTCGCTGAGCGGCAGATCCTCCATAATGTTACTGTGCTGACCACCCGCCGAGGGCCGCTCACGTAGTATATAGTTCCGTGTGGAGGCACCGAAGTGAAACGTGCTGTTGATCTGTAGCTGTGTGGGCTTGTGAGCCTCGAGACGCAATGTGCCAATAAATGTGCCGTGGGCTGCAATGGAAACCATATTGAATAGCCGAATGAAAGGATACTTTTTGTTTGCGTATCCTACTGGAGCCAAGATCAACGAGGTAGGCAATGTTGAGGTGCTTGTGGTAGACAAATGCCGCATGCACACGGGAGCAGGAGGCGTGGTCTATGCAAAAGTCATTCATTTGGCTATTGCGGCCAAACAAATAACACCGCTTCTCATCCACCATTAGCTTTTGCACCAGTTTGTCATCCTTGAGCACATCCAAGTGCAGCCCAGTAGGCGGTTTGCCAGCCCAACTGGGTATATCATAACTGTTGGCCATTCAATCGAGCTCCAAATTTCAAAGACACGGAATAAATCGTTAAGAGCTTCTATTATATGTACACAATTTGTGTACCGGCGGCAATAAGAAATGCACTAAAAAATACCATGACCGTGGTGAATGGCAAATATGGTTCAGACTAAAGCAGGTTGGCATGTTTATTGAATTATTGATAAACAATGAGCACAGACTATATAAACAACAATTATATAGAAAGTGCGCGAGTGTATTTAAAAGTAACTGATCCCAGTACAATTTTCATAAAATGCTCCCTCTGCAGCACAGCCGGATTGATCGACTGGACACTGTTTCTCAGGCACTTGACAGCCGAACATACAGTGGGTCCCTGCCTGGAGAAGGGCTCTCTAGAGCTGGATGAAGAAATTCAGGCCGAGGTTGAGCTGGAGCTGCAAAATCTGAGTAAAATAGGCAGCAAAGATATCGACGAAACTACAGACTCAGAGGCAGACATAGACGATCATGTTTCAGATGAAACGTACTTGACTGCGCAGCCAGAAGTGGACGACACCGACACGAGGGAACAAGCCGCTCCTCATGTACCTCATGTAAAAAACTTATATTAACAAAGATCGAATTGAGGTCAGCTTTGTGTCATCTTGCAGAATGATGTGCTCGATAGGCCCAATCAGCCCTTCTACAGCATGCTGCACACCAAGCCCGAGCTAATGCTTGGCTTTATAGATCTGCTGCGCCAAAACGAATATCTTTGGCGCGAGGAGTACAAAAACGGGGACTTTGCGGCTGAGCGATTGGAGAGCGCCCAACAGATAAGTGAAGGGCTGGAGGAGCGTTTTAATGTGACTCTCAAGCCACGGGTCATCAGTCATAGCGTCTGCAGGCTACTTAAATGGTTTCAAAGGCAGCATGCGTTGTGTTCGAGCAATAGGAGCTTTCGATGCCGTCATCAGTCGTATTACGACCAACTGCTCCAGTTTGTGCCTACACACAATATCCACGTTATGAACTGCGATGAGTGCAAACGAAAATTTTACAATGAAGAGCAATTGAGACGGCACAAATACCGTGCACACGGCGGTCGCATCCCATATGTCTGTGATGTGTGCCACATGGGTTTTTCGCATGCCTCTAAGCTGCGCATGCATCGGGCGCGACACCATGAGAAGCCAAAGCGCTGGCAGTGTACTTTATGCAGCTACTGTGCTCCAAACAAATGGGATTTGAGCGTACATCTGCCTACTCACAGTGGCGAACGTAATTACACATGCGAACTCTGTGGTGTTTCAACCAAATCGAGCTCCTCATTGGCTGTGCATAGACGCACGCATTCCGTACTCAAAATTAATTGTCCCTACTGTCCAAAGAAATACCGTGAGAATTATTTGGTAAATTGTCACATTAAAAAGATGCATGCAGCAGAGCTTGAACAGGAACAGGAATTGGAACATGCAGTCATTGGCGACACAACTTAGATATTGTACTAAATGAAATAAATAACTAAATGAAAATAACAATGGTTTCAGTTCTGCATTTGCATTACAAATAATAATAATAAGACAAGAAACTTATCGATAACCACTTTGCCATTCACACAAAATGCATGTATGCAGCCCTGCAGCGACGGCGTCACATTGTTAATGCTTTTCTAATTTCTGCGCTTCTAGCACGGCTAGAGAAACAATTTCGCGTTAGTTCGCGAGAAAAATAATAATCAAATAATACGTGTAATAATTGTTTATATGCTCTAAACAAAGGAATAATCGCAGACTACGCCTTACGTATAAGCGCCTTAAATGTGCCAATATGGCGCACAAACGAGTGAAAACAGAGGACATGGAAGTGAATTACAAATTTGCGTGTCGCTGTTGCCTCAAATCCGAGGCGGAATTCTTTAAGCTGGACTCACTAATCGAGTGTGGCATAAGCGAGCATGACGCGTCCTCTACTAAAATACCCCTGATACGCTTACTATTATTCTGCATGCGCACTGAAAATCAGCCCGAGCTGCCGCAATACATATGCGTCGAGTGTAGTAAAAGTTTGCAAATTGCCTACTATTTCATACAGAACGGCTTGCGTGCACATGAAATACTCTGTCGCAAGCTGTGCCCTGGGAAGCTAAAGACAACAACTCGTTCGAACGGACAACATGCATCGCTATGGACCGAGGTGTGTAGCGGGGCGTGTGCAAGCTGTGTTTTATTGGGTTGCTTTGTTTAACATGTTGTTTGTTTGCAGACAAATGCCAGAGATGACGCGTCGCTGCCCAGGCTCTGGGAGCAGAAACCTCAAAAGTCCGCTGTACGACACGAATGCAAAGTATGCGGCGCGATTGTGTACAATCGCATGGAGCTCAAACAGCACATACGTATGCACACAGGTAAACTGCGATGACTCAGTTTCAGCTTAAGGATTTGTTTATGTCCTTATACTGGGTGACTTTGCCTTAGGGACATGTTCCCTATAAAGTATATATATTCGCGATCGGTATCGATAGCCGATTTGACATGGCCGCCTGTCTAACTATAACGATATATACGTCTAATAGGAACAATCGGGAAAAATTACGTTTTCGTATGACAAGCTTTCATGTTTTTTAAGGTATCTCAACCAAACTACGCCATTAGAAGCTTTACTATGCTCGGATTATTAAGGCAATCTTATTAAGATTTGATAATTATATCATATATAATATTTTTCTTTTTTGTCTCATGCCATTTACAATTCGTAATTGGCAATGAATATTGTTAAGCGAGTTCTGCTTAAGGCTAAAATTCATTTAAAACTAATTTGCAATATTATTTTTTTTCTCCTCCCGCACACACAGAGTCATCGCAACATCAGTGCAAATTGTGCAACTTTGTCACGCTCAAGCATCGCCAGCTGCCGGAGCATTATCGCAAGGCACATGGCTTGACAGCTGCCCAAATTGAGCAACAGATCAAAATCAGACGGTCTATGCAGGCGGCTGCAACAACTTCAACGACAACAAACGCAATAGAAACTCCTGCAGATGATGGTCAGGTGAAGGTGTGCACACTGGAGGACATGGAGCTGCTGATACCCACTGTGCTGACGCCAGAGGATTTTACGCATCCACAACTGGATGCGGATCAGTTGCGTGATATTGAGCAACAATTGGCGAACGCGCTGCCCGTCCCACAGTCCAATTTAGCTGACATACCAGCTGATCCGACGATAGATGCTGGCGTTAGCGCCAATGTTAGCATCGGTGCCGAGTTTTTGGTCATGCCCGATGGCTCTTTGCAGCAAGTAAATGATGCCGGTGTGGTTTTCGAATACATTGATGATAGCAAAAACACCAATACGACAACCAATATGACATTGCAAAGTCTTTTGGGCGATTCCAAGACAGATTTATCCTATAATGCCATGGATATCGATCTGAGTCATATGGTTGTCGACAATGCGCTGCCACAGATAACAGGTGTGTGTGCTTACGACTGCTAGCTGATTTCTTTTTTATTGCCAAGTTATTTATACTCTATATATTTATAGTTAAGCCAAAACCGCGCCCGGCACCTGCGTCTACTGGTGCCCTGAAACACAAATGCAAACTGTGCCCCAAG